TTCTGAAAGAGATAATTGGAACATTGCATTACACCATTTATTTTACCAGCTTGGCTGAAAGAAGCAGATGAAAATTTTGCATATGTTAATATTATCGGCAAAGTCCAATGTATAATTTATGGCAGGGAAATCTGCTGTAAATGCGTTATCTATAAATTAATTGGGTTATCACTGCGTTTTATTCACTTGAGCCTTTTAAACTGCACCTTAGTGGTAATATTTTGATTCGTTAACCATGTGAGAGGAGTTAAAGGTCTATTTTAGATTTTGCTTACACGTTTTGCTAAAAATTTTAAGTAAGGTGATGAAACATTCGATTATAAGTGATAAGTTCATGGCAGATCTTACAGCAGTTGAAATTAGCCTAACATTTTGCATTTGATTAGATTTAATAAAATGGTGGTGGAGATGAGAATTTCAGAATATGTATAAACTGAAATATTTGTTGTTGTTCTGTAAGATATTTATAAGGATTACTCCCTCTGTTTTTCCTTTGACATTTAAGGTTTTGCATAGAATTTAAGAAAATGAAGGTTTTTTTTTTTTAAATATATTTAAATTCTTACTAGTTTAACAACTCATGTAATGCATAGGTATTTATTTTAGAATAAATACACATAAAATTCAATAATTAAAAACAAAATTTTATAATTTTATAAACAATTATATATATAACAATTATTTTAAATAATATTTTTTAAAAATATTATGACTTAACTTTAACCACAAATAATATGTATTAAAATGATAAAATTTTTATAAAACTAAATGATTTTAAAATACGATTTATTTTAAAATAATACTTATTGTGTGGTGTAGTAATTTTTTAATTAAATATCAATAATTTATATAATTAAAAAATAAATTTAAGATATAAGATTTTTCAAAGTAAAATTTAAATTAAAAAATAAAAATAAAATATATTTTATAAATATAGAAATAGTTATTTATGAAAATATAAAAGTTTATAAAAATTAAGAAGGAAAAGTAAAGCAGAAGTAAAATCATTACACCAAAATGAGTGTAATTAATAAACGTGACAAATTGTGAAGAAGAGTAGCGCTACTAATATTTTATTTGCCAAACAATATACTTTTATTTATAATATAAAAGTTCATATCTTAATTTTATTTTTAAATGTTTAATTTTTCATAATATTTTTCTATGCATGCATAAGTTATAAACAGTCTGTATATATTGAAAAATTCTGTTCAAATATTTTAAGTAATAAAAATAATAATAACTAATAAAAAATGTAAATATCCAAAAAAAGGTTAAATAAAATAAATATGAGGTGGAATAAATAATAATGTACAAAAAAAACTAACAATAGAAGTATATGAAATAAATTAAATAACTTCTTAAAGTTAAAATAAAGTTCTCTCAGTTTATTCCAATAAAAATATGTGAAATAAATTTGATAAATTCGTTTTTTTTTTCTTTTTATTATCATTTTTTTTACAAGTTTGGTTAATGCTACGAAATCTAAAGAAATTTATTCATCATTTTCAATCAAGGAAAACCACTGAAGAAAAGAAATTCAAACCCTAAATACAATTAAAATTATGCTAGAATTTCATAAAGTAAATTAAATAGTTTCGAGAAAAAAATAGCATAAAGTTAAATTAAACTAAACTAAACGATATAAAAATTAAATGAAAGAGTTTCAGATTAAATTAGATGTTTACAAAAATATTTTTAAAATTTGAACTTCCTTTTCTTGTAATAATTTCAAAAAATGTGTTTAAAATTTTAATAAAAATTATCTTTTTTCATGTATCTCATTTATTTTTATCTCATCAACTCTTATTACTTTGTTTTTCATTTTTTTAATTTAAAATTTGCAAATGCATGTCCAATATAAGTTTTACACTCTTGATAAATACTATTAAATAGTAAATAAAGTATTATAAAAATTTAAATATATTTAGTCTGCGTATTGCAACATCGTTGAATTGTTAAAATTTTATTAAAATTTAAATTTTTTTAATAATTGTTAAAATTGATTGAGAGATTCTTATAAACACGGTGTTACTACTTATACATAAAATAAAATAAAAACCTCTTATTTTATTAGTTAAAATCAGAGACTGAAGCATGAATATTAATCTTCGTCTTCATCTAACTTTGATTTTTAGATATAATTTTTTTATATGTTTTTTGTTCAATAATTATTGAAATTGATTGAGGATATCTTCAATTAACAGAAATGCAACCAATGTATCAAATTTTTGCATGATTCTATTGATTAAAATGAGAGATTCAAGCGAGTTGTTTTTCAAAAAAAATTTAAAAGATATTTTTCATAAAAAAATAATCATGTTCGGGTTAAACATAATTATTATTGACGACAAAATTCTTTTTTCAAGTCTTTAAGACTCATTTTAGCTTTTCTAATAAAATCTATATAGTTTAACAACTATTTTGTTTAGGATTTTCCTCATTATTAACATACAACCTTTCTCCCAAAATTTTATTACATTTTGTGGCCTGTACATAAAGAATTAGATAAATAAAAAGACCCAATTTAAAAAAGCAGTTTCTAATAATATTTGTTATAATAAAAAGGCTAATTTGAAACTAAATAAATAAAAGTTGTTGACAAAAGAAAAAAATGAAAGTTAAACAACGAAATTGAACTAGAAAAATTTAGAAAACAAATTTGAAACAATAAAATTAGAAGATCAAATTGTTTTTTTTTCTTAAAAAATTAATTACAATTTTAGTTTATGCACTTTCATTTCATTTACATTAAAATTAGAAGTTGTTTTTGTATATGATGCCTTTTAGTGCTAAGTATAAAAGAAGCATAAAAGAATAATAAAAATTTTTCATTAATTTTATGAGAATGAAGCTCAATAGACATATAAAACAAGGTAAATTTTCGGAGCCTCGGGCAATAATAGTTTATATAAGTAGTGGTAGCTTCTTACATTAGAATTTTCATATTTCTTTTTTGAATTGCTTTGGTATCATATAGGAGTTACCAATTAATGGAGAAGCCATGCAAGAACATACATTGTTTTGGACTCGGAATCCAGATGAAGCTCATCTCTACTTTCTTTCATTTAGTGTTGTGATGATCCTTCAACACCTCTTTCTGTATTGGGGCCAACTATTGGTGATTATGTTCATATCATATCCCACAAATATGCATATTGGAATAGAAGTTATGGAGCTGACCATTTCATGCTTTCTTGCCATGATTCGGTAATTATTTTCTATATGTATATATTATAAAATTTTCCTCCTCCAGTTAGTGCATCAATTCAGGGTTACCTTATCTTTTAAGGTAAGTTTTTAATTTCATTTTTAACTATTTTTTTTATTTTAATCTTCTAATTTGTAAAAATATTTTCAATATGTTTTTTTATTTTAAAAATGTTAACTCAGTTAAAATAAGAGGATGAACAGTTTGAACAGGACATATGATAGAAAATAATTTTTTTATAAAATTAACATTTTTAACAGAAAAAAAATTATTTAAAATACACAAAACTCATTTTTCATTTTTATCAACAACCATTGTTTTGAAATTTAAAGGATAAAATCTGGCAAAGAATTAGGATATAAGAAAATTAAAAATAAAAAACTCTGGCAGAGGTAGTGAAATGGCAGATTCGCTAGAAGTAGAACGTAACACGTGCATAGAATTGGAGACTGAAAACATGTTAGAGAAACAAGTGTCGTGCATGCTACATTACACGTTACAACGTTTGCTATAGTTGCGTTGGTTGGGGCAGTGAAAGGTGTTTTTATGTTTGTCTTGTGCACCAAATTAGGATCATACATTCATCAACGCCACATCCCTTTGCTTCGTCTCTTTCATTATTGCCCACAGTAACGCTTCATTTTGAATCATCTTTTCTTCCTCTCTCTCTCTCTCGTCACCATTTTGCTTGTAAGACTACGATCTTTCTTCTTAGATTCAATTCTGTCTCTTTATTTCATCTCTTCTCGGTTCCATTATTTTTTCTATAAAATATTGCCCATAACAATCTTTGAATTCTCGTCTCAAGTAGTCATTTTCACCGCTCTTTTTGTTTTTCTCCTGGTGGGTATGTAACTATTTATTGTGGCATCAAACAAGAGATGTCGAATTAATTAGCTCTAAATTGTTTAAGTTTCTGTACGTTTATTTATACTGTTAATTATGTAAACAAATCAACAACACAGTTTAATTTATATGTAGCTTGATTGAAATTGAATAGATGGTTAACTCATATTATGATCTTTAATGATTTTAGCTAGCTGTCATATAGTGAATGGTTTTAGCTAGCTGAAACATTATTGAATTTCGTAGAGGATTCCTGTGCTTTCAATCAAAAGTAAAAAATGCATGCATTATTATCATCTTTAATGATTTCATGTTGTCATACACTGGTTTATATGCAGAATTCTCATTAAGTCTGAATTTTATTTATGAAAAAAAAAATTAATAGGAAGAATTAAACTCGCCATATTATGAATGTTTTTACTTGAACAAGAATGATTCTGGATGAGGATTTCTGTTATTCAAACTAAAAGTAAAGCTTAATGTACTTTTTTACATTCCTTTGGTAATATATTTTAATTAAAATTAAGGTTTTGTAACGATAAAAAAAATTATATTTATTATTTTTCTGATTTACTGAATTAAAATTTTAATTAAAATGGTAGAAAAAACACTTAAAGAATAAGATTTAAATTATTTTTCTTTTGCTATTTAAGATTTAATTTTTTATCTAAATAAAAATTATGCATTATTATTATTAAGGTTTTGTTAACATATTAATAGTTCTCACCCTCTGGTTAATACTTTTCATATTATTATCGTCTTTAACGATGTCATATTAGTGATCACACACGTTTCAATCTTGTCTAAATAAGATGCTTTACCGGAAAAAAAAAAAAAAAAAGCATTATTATTATCTTTAAGGATGTCATGTTATATCAGAAACACATTTACGTAACAACTTGGGTAATTTAATTTTGTTCTCAGACTTGTTGTGTCCAGGAACAGGAACCAACCGCTGAAAACCAACCTAAGAGAAAAGAAAATGTCTGGTGTGTCACTAGCAGTGTCATCACAATCAGTGCCACAAGCACCTTCACAACCAGGGGGCACAGGCGCAGGCACAAGGCCTAAAGCACCAACGCAACAAGGCACAGTTGGTGGAATGATGGGTTCACTGCGTGTGATAGAGCTTCAACTCGTCGCATTCATATTGGTGTTCTCAGCAAGTGGTCTTGTCCCACTCCTTGATCTTGTGTTCCCTGCATTTGCCTCAGCTTACATCTTGGCACTTGCACACTTTGCATTTCCATCAACAGCAACAACAACTTCATCTGGGTCTGAGATCTTCAAAGGAAGCAAGATGTTTCGAATGTATGTTGTTCTTGGAACCACTGTTGGTTTGTTCTTGCCACTAGCCTATGTGCTTGGAGGGTTTGCAAGAGGGGATGAACATGCTGTGCGTTCGGCCACTCCTCATTTGTTTTTGTTATCGTTTCAAATATTGACTGAGAACATCATTAGTGGGTTGTCATTGTTCTCACCACCCGTGAGGGCATTGGTTCCTATGATATACACAATCAGAAGGATCTTTGTGGATATTGATTGGACACATGATGTGTGGCTCAACAAGGCTTTGCCTGCCAATGCAGGGCTGCAGGTATTTTTCTTGTGATAAATGCTAATCAAAAACTCTCTCTAACACCAAACCAAATCACTTGTTCTTTTTGGGTTTTCATTTTTATATATATGCACAGTATTTCTATTCTGAACACAACTCTAGTTATAAGCTAAAATTTATTGAAATGTGTTGTTAGTATTTCTCTTCCTAATTTTCTTTGCCTTTTTTATATTTTTTTTCTTTTTAATTTATGTCATTTGATCGATATTTCATTACCTATAGATATTTCATTACGTACAGTTTGGTTCCATGTTTCAATTAACATTAGAATTTTTAGTTTAATAATCTCTATCAATTTCAATGCCAATCCAATTTTACAAACTAGTTTTGACTATAGAGGGTGTATATGCTCGTGGGTGAATAACAATTATTTTCCAATTTGTTTTTAATCCTTGTAAAAAAAGCGTTGATGCATGAGGCTACAAAACTAATTATGACGATGCTAAAAGAACTTTATGGGACAACAATTCAAAAGAAATCAATGACAACTTTAAAATTACAACATATATGTATCATACTTGATATCCTTACCGTGTTAATTTTTTAATCATGTCATTTTGAATTGAGGACAGGAGAAGTGCGTTTTTTTTTATCTTTTCATTGCACTTTATTACTGTTGGAAGAAATTCATGTAGGTTGGACTAGGTGATGTAGGTGTTATCTCTTATTTAGAGTCCTATTTGTTATTTAGTGAGACTTATGTGAATTCCAACTAATAGAAGAGTATCATAGAGGGTGTAAGCTTAACATTCTCTTCTCTCATTTCTTTACTCTTCATAGTTCAGACATAAAGATAATTACTTCAAGTTCAACCTAGGACTAGGCCAGTGAATATGTTCTCATGTGTATGCATGTATGCATGGATGTATATGTAAATGGGAAAGGAATGAATTGCAATTTTGCATGCAGGACACAGCATGGTATTGGTTTGGGAAGGGTCTGGCAGTGGCAAATTTGGCTTATTTCTCTATCAATCTATTTGGGTTTCTGATACCAAGGTTTCTTCCAAGAGCTTTTGAGAGGTATTTTCAAGAGAGGGGAGAGATCTATGCCAAGGCAGCAGAGGATAAGCGATCTGTGTCCATCAACAAACCCCAATTGTCAGAGAAGAAGACAGATTAAGAGTTCTAGCCAATTTGACTTCACTTACAATTTTAACACTTCTGCATTTTTTTTCCTTAGAAAAATGGTATATGAATGTGTATGATATATGAGCCTGGACATGAAATGTGGCTCCTCGTTACGATAATAGATATTATATGACGATGGTTTTGGATAATATATCATACAGGTTAATCCTAATTTTGGAGGTTTTGTCTAGTCTTATTCTCTCCCCCCCCCCCCCCCAATCTAATAATAATATAACCATCTTAAAATGACACGACCACATGAGTCATTCTTTAACGTATAATCCACTGCTCTTAAAAGAATAAATTCTAATTTAAAACATACAGGGAAGATTTGTCCAAATGTTTTACTTCCACACATATATTTTTAACAATTATCTTGATTAAACTATGAAAATGGAAGTAACAACTAAAGGTATGCGTTATTTGTAAAATTGGCTACATTCACTGCTGCTTGCATACGTTGATTTTGCATATCAATGTGTATAGGAAACTAGAGTAGGTATTCCTCCCAAGTCTGTAGTACCAACGTTAATCCCATGAAAGCCAAAAAAAAACCAGTGAAATATTCTTTCTCGTGCAAAATACTTCTGAGAAGAGTGCATTATCATCCCTCACAAGTATTGGCGATATCTTCATCTTACATTCAATAATCTTGTTGCCTTGTAGATTGTTTTCATCTAGATGGAGATATTAAATTGAATGCATTATGTTGCCAAACTCATCAGGGATTGTACCTCTTAGTGAGTTGTTGGAAATGCAAAGCTGCTAAAGACTCGAACTGTAGTTAAACCCTCGGTGGAATTTAGTTGGTGATGTCAAATGATTGTCAGCGAGATTAAGGATGGCAAGGGAAATGGAAAAGTTTAAATAAGATTTAGACATCAGCATCAGAAACATCAGGCACATAGCGGCGGTTATTTTGTAGCCAGTGATGAAAAAATCACCGAGATTATGAACGCCATTCAAGTCGAGATTTGATAGCCAATCCAAATCACCATGATTTTGATTGTTTAGACTTGAATTGTAACCAAGTCTGAGAGAATGCAACATTGAAAGATTCTTGAGTCAAAAAGGAATTGCTCCAACAAGATTATTGAGTGTAAGATGAAGATATTGCAACTGAGACTTTCAAGTTGAAAAGGGCTTGCTGCAAAATTATTATTAGTAAAATCAAGATATTGCAAATATAAGAGATTACCAGGTTGGTAAAGGATTTCACCATCAAGTATATTGTGGCTAAGATCAAGAGAGATTTCTGATTTGGTAGGGAATCTGCCTAACATAACTACCACGATGAAAAAGTAAAGATAAAAATATAATAACTGTATACACTAACGACTAATTTATGGCATTCATCACATCAACTTTTCCCAAAGGCATAAACAGATAATTCCAGATGATAAAAATTTATCCTTATAAAATTAATTCCCGTAGACAACAACGGAGTCACAACTTCCAAGTATTAATCTTTTTAAGTTCTCAAATCCTAAATTAAACAAACCGCTGAAACTGAATTGGCGCATATGCATTCTTCAAAACCTAAAGCTTTTTTTTCTTCTTATTACCCGTGTTTGCGGTTGAACTATCAACTCAACTCCAGAAACAAAATCTTGATTTGCACTGCCAGTAGAATTGAACATCAAATTCCCTCAAACAAGAAATTTAAACGAGTTACAAAATTTTTACAGTCCAATCTTCTGCAACATGGACATTAGGTTTACGTATGGTCATGACAGCTGGCGAACGTGCCCTTTGAACCCAAAGCGGGCCAAGTTCAATATCAACCTTCTGATTTGATGGTTCAATGAGTGCACTCTTTGCGCCAGAAGCATGTCCTAGCAAGATAATCCTCTCAATGACAGCATCTGATGGATAACGCACATTGCTACCAACAGCAGGTGCCAGGTCTACAGAAGTAAGTTTCCCATTTGCGAAAATAAAACGTCTGTGGATGTAGGCCCCTTCCAGAAAATTAAAGCTGCTACCATCATCAATGTAGAGATCACCTTCAGCTGCTTGGGAACTATTCAGAGCTATAACCTGTGAAACAGAAAACCATAATTTTATCATGAAGAAAACTAAGTGTTTACTTTCTGTTACTGACAATAGCTACAAAGGTATAGCGACACAACATTTCCCAACTCTTAAGGCTGCAATTTTTTATTGGACTGCAAACTAACAAGCAACAGGATACTCAAATAGTCAATATTCATGTGCTATGATAAACTCATAAGACATGAAAGTGGACACATGAGATTCAGATTTTTTCTGGCTGGGATGAACATTCATGCAGGCATGCAGCTTACTCTTGCAATGCATAAAGTCGTTCACTTTCCTCATGGTACTAAATACGTCCTCCCCATTATACAATAAAATAAACAAAAAGCACAATTGTACACATACCAGTTCAACATCTTAGTTCTACTTCAAAGATAGGTGGGGAACACAAATATTAACATGCAAAATATTTGCAAGAGACGTCCCTCAATGTTCAAAGAGGGCCAGCCAATGGCCTGATGCCAAGAGGCATGAGGGGCTAACTAGCATAAACTTTATGTATGACATCATAGGGCCTGAATAGAAAGACAATAGTCCAAGACCTAGCAAAATGAAAACTAACAGAAAAAGCAAGAAATAACACATCTGCAATTCAAACATATTCACAAGAATTAAAGCAAATCAACATGAATACATACCAGAGTATAGGGATCGTTAACCATCTGAGTGGAACTTCGCCGAAATCGGTCTTTCCTTGTAAGAATGGTTCCAGCTCTCTGGAAAGCAGGAATGCTCTCCTCTGTAACCTCCAACTTGTGTGTCACCCCTCCCTTGTACACAGTTCCACTTCTAAGGTCATACCAGGATTGTTTTCCAGGCAAATAAACTGATGCATGCTTAGCTCGCTGCCAGCAACAAAGCATTACAAAAACTTTAGTTAAAGACCACAAAAAAGAAGGAAATGATTTGCAGAAGGAAAACATTTATGTATCTGGAAACTGACTAAAACACCTCAGTATAGATCCCTTGCACTAAAAGACTGTTCCCAACCATGAAAGCTTCATCATTGGTAAAAGTAGCTTCATCAGATGGGAATTCCATCCACAATGGACGGACCACAGGAATGCCAGTAGTGTTAGCCTCCCTGAATAATGTGTAGAAATATGGGAGAAGTGCATAACGAACATGTATAGCATCCTTAATCAATTCTGTATTTCGTTCTCTGCAATGTCAAAATGAAAATCAATTTACAATGTTGACAAACAGATTAAAACAATGTTAAAGCAGAGTTTGATAGTCAAAGCACATAATAGGTGCTTTTAGCACATCTGGATCAAATTCAATACTCATAAATCCAATCAACATTGCCACATATTAAACCGAGTGTGTGGAGGAGGTGTATCCATATGGGAGTTATTGTGAATTTTAGTGATAGTGTGTCTCTTATACTAATTGCAGTTACAATATAGATATATGATTTAGCTGCACTTTATTAACATCTAAGATTTGCCTAGTATTTCTGTGAAAAGGTTCATTCCTTCATAGAGTACATCCTGATTTAAATATATGTCCTCTTAAAACATGTTTCACTGACTTTAAAAGGCAATCAGTCCTTAACCAAAGAAAAGAACAGTAAAAGGAATAAGTATAAAATGAAAGGAGTACCAAAAAAATTGTGATATTTTAACTTTGGCACAAAAAAAAATCATAAAAGTCCGTCCTACCCAAACAACCAAGGTTCTCGTCTTTTGGTGTCATGATGGGCATGGGCCCTAAAGAAAGGATAGTAAGCTCCTATCTGATACCATCGAACCAATAACTCAGGTTCAGGATTCCCAAAAAATCCACCAATATCAGCACCTACATTATGTACACAATATAAGATCATCTGAATCAGAGGGGTTGGGAATTCCTAACTCATGCAAATAAGTACGTTGATTGACAATGAATATGCCAAAAAAAATAATAATAATAATAGGAAATAATAAATACATCATGAGAAGGACGATACAAACCAGAGAATGACATCCCAGCAAGACCAAGGGTCAAAACCATTGGAATAGAAACCCTTAGGTGATCCCAATCAGCAGTGTTATCCCCAGTCCAAATTGCTCCATACCTCTGACTTCCCGCAAACATTGCTCTTGACAAAACAAATGGTCTGTCTTTCCCCTCACCACGCTTCAATAGCCCATCAGCTGTTGCCATGTGGAAGTAATATCCATAGGCATTGTGCATCTCCCGATGTTCCACACTTCCATAGTGTACTGCATCTCTAGGCATTGTCACCTGGATACAAGGCATGCAATCAAATCTTCATTTTCCCCATCTCCAGGTTGTCATTAGAAGTTACAAAGAACTTAAGGAACATGTTACAGAAGCACATTGAACATGTGGATTATGAAGAATCCATAGATCCAGAGTTTGCTTCTCAAGCAACATTAAAATGTAAAGCATATAAATAAACATCAGGAGAAATGAGGATTCATAAGTGCAGGCATATGATAACAGCACCCAGAAGTTGAAGCACTACACAATCAAACGACATTGACAGCATGTCTAACAATTATAACCAGTCATTCCCTCTTTTTCTTTCAGATTTATTAATCAATGTGGGTTTGGCTCCAATAGGACTCGGCCAAACATCCAAATCTCCCTCATATGATCATATATTGGTTGAATCACTGCTTAGTCAGGGAAGTTTTATTTTTATTTATCATTCTCCCATCCTCACCCTCCTTATTCTTCTCCTTAAGTGAGGTTTTATACAACAGCCAAGCTACCATCGCAGTTCCACAACCATTAAATGATATGAATGATGATGGTGTGACTGATAAGTTGGATGATATTGGCCTCTACTAAATTTTATATTATATTCGCAATTTATCTTTAATTGAACTTTATGCTCTAGAAATAACATTTGTTTAATAGCTAATAATATATTATGAGTTCACTGATGTTTAAAAGTCAATATTGTGCTAAATAATTACAAATCTTACATTGTTTCAGGAAGTCATAAGATCTAGACGCGTATCATTCAAAATTATCATGGAAATGGATAGTGATAGTGAGTTCCTTACAAACACAATTTATCTTCTGTTCCCAATCACACAAACACCCTTGAAAAAGTTGCAAAGCTACATTCCGATTCTTATTCCAAAATCATAGTAGAAACAAGGAGACCAAACAAAGGAGAAATAAATGCTTGAAATAGTTGACATACCTCAGGACCATTGAAGACAGAAGGTTCATTCATGTCATTCCAAATGTAAAGGGAAGGAGTAGAACCAACATAATTCTGATAAGAAAACTTCTCAGCCCACCAGGACCTAATTTCAGGGTTCAACGTATCAGGGTAAGACGATGAGCCAGGCCAGCACCAACCATCAAAGTCATTACCACGGGCATCCTTAACATAATATCCCTTCTGCGAGGCCTCCTTGTGCAAATGAAAATCCTCATCACGCTTAATATGAGGATCCACAATGGTAACCATGTGTCTCCCCTTAGCAGACAACTTCCTCTGCATCTCCTCAGGATGAGGGAAAAGAACCGTATCCCAAGTAAAATACCTCTTCCCATCGGTATGCTCAATATCAAGCCACAAAACATCATAGGGAATGTCCAACTCATCAAACTTAGAATCCACATGCTCAACATCCTCTTCATCACGATAATTCCACCTGCACTGGTGATAAGCAATCGAAAACAGCTGTGGCATCGCCGAAGTTCCGGTCACCGCAGTGTACTGGCGTAAAACATCCTTAGGCTGAGGCCCAACAAAAAAGAACGTATCCACCACACCAGCTTCACTCATCCAGAACGTGTCAACCCTGTTCTGAGACGAAGGAAGAGCAATCCCAGACTCAGCATCCCAACCAGAAGCAAGAACATCGATTTGCATCTCAGCAGCATTGAGCCAGAAAAACCCAGAACTACCCCTGGTTTTCCCGTGCGAGATCATGAAGGGAATTGAACCATAGAGACCAAAAGGAGAATCGTGAATGTACTCAAAAACATCCAAGTTGAAGAGCCTGTAGGGTTCTGATTCCTCCACGTTGGGTCCTCTGGTTGGCTTCAACACGAGACTGGTGGCGCGTTCGGGAATACCGTAGACGAAATCCGCGTCGTAGAAGGATACATCGAAGCTAATGGATTGGGGACCGTAGGGTCTGGTGTCAGTGTGGCTGCGGAACCTCTCTTCCCAATCTTCGCCTTCGTTTTTCTCCCTCAATTGTTCGAAATCGAAAAGGCCGTGAGAGTTAAGAGAGATGACGCGGTCGCCGGAACCCTCGTCGAGGACATAGAACTCGAAGGGATCGTGGCGGAGGACCACGGAGTAACCGTCGGAAAGGTAGACGGAGGAGGAAGCAGAGTCTTGGGAGGAGAAGCGTTGGAGCCAAAGTTTGGTTGAGGGGAAGTGGGAAACGACGACGTCAGGGACTTGGAAGCGGTTTTTGGGAGGGGAGAGAGAAGGGTCTTCGTCGATCTTGAGGCGTAGGATAGCGTTTTGGTGAACGGTGAGAGTGAGGATCAAGGGTTTGGTTTCAGGTTGGGGTTGATCTTTGGGGATTAATTTGGCAGTGAGGTCACCGTCGGATATGGTGACGTGGGTGGCTATGAGAGAGCAGGAACCGGGGGTGCGGGATCGTGCTCGCTTGCAGAATGGGGTCTGGTGGCAGGTTCTGAACTCGTCTTTCTTCCATGAGAGGACAAGGCTGAGATGGGAACAGAGTAGGAGAAGAACAATTAAACTCGGAGTTTGATTGCTCATCTTCTCAGTATCATAGCAGGGGATGGAAAATGGAAAGGTAATAATTAACTACGAAGAGTGGATGCAGCTCTGGTTGGTGCAGTTCAACGTAAAGGAGAGGACGAGACTACAAAGCATCTCCCTCACGCTCATTCAGTAATGCTCTGACCCTTTTTTTCGGATTTATTTGGGCTTTTGTCCAGTTTAGACAAGACTATGGTGTCAGTACTCATGACCCAAAAACAAGCGAAATTTTGGCACCAAATTTCAAAACCCTTTTCTTGTCCACATTTTTTTATTGAGTTTTGTTATATCTTCTTGTACATTTTTTTAATAATTCTCTTTCTATTTTATTAAATAAAAAATGCTAGTTATCGATGAGAAGATTTCATTATTATTTTTTATTATTCTCTCTGTTTCGGTTAATATTATTTGGGCAATCCTTACAACAAAGAAAATGGTATAAAGTTTTACCCTAAAAAATGAAAAAGTATCATGGTAAATGACATAGGGCAAGTTCATTAACAGAGAATTCCATTACAAGTTTCACTTTTTAAAAGAATGAATTAATAATAGAATTATTTTGTTTTTTATTTAAAAACTGTTATATACTGTTGAATACTCCATTAACAGCTCATCCATTAGCAATTTTATATAGATATTAATAACATGCCATCCATTAAAATAACAACACGAGTTAAAATAAATCAAACTTCTTACATGGTTATTTGTTTCATTTTTTGTAAGTTAAAAATTCAACGCATATCGTAATCGAAATTTTCATAAACTAGAAACTCATCTCACACAAAAGTTTACTGCTAATATGCAGTTTAACTCTCACCAAAATTACTTGCCTCAACCATTTCTTTTTCTTTCCCTGACTCATTGATCATTTTTGTAAAAATAAATGACACAATTTTACTTACAAAATTGGTGTAATTAATTTGCTATAACATAAAACAAATATAAAATTGCCACAACAAACCAAAATAGAGAACCTAATATTATTAAAAAAAAAAAAAAACAGAATCATCTAAGGACACGCTGCCACATCATTTAATGAATTTAAGATCTCTTATGCTGTTTAATTTATTACATAACTAGAAAATATATCTAAGCGGTTGCACAGATTTGTAGAAAAATATTTATGTTTTTATTAGTTAATTTAACTTTAAAATAATTATAATTTAAATAATAATTATTTTTAATGTGACAGAAAAATAAAAATTTTGATTACTTTTAAAATAAATTATATATAAAAATAACTATAAAAATTAAATTAAATTTATATGTAATTTTAAACATTTTAAATTTTAATAATAATAATTTAGTTATAAATTAGTAAATATATTTGTGTGTTATACAAATTTGTTTATATTTTTATTAAATTATTTTATTTTAAAATAAATAAAAATTATAATTTAAATATAAAAATATCTAATAATAATATTTTATTATATTAAACAATATTAAATATAATCACAATAACAAATACGATACATACATTTTTATATATAATTTTTTTATATTTTATATATTTTTCATCCTCTTCCGTAATAAAAATTGTTTTTTAGTTAATCTAAATATAAAAAATAAATTTTTTAAAAATAAATTAAAAAACATAAAAATAAAAATAAAAATACATAAAAAATATATATTAATGAATAAAAATATAAAAAAAATATTTTTTAATAAACAATAAAGTTTAATATTATATTTAGGTAAGATCCATTTGAATGAAGTTTAATTTTTATTTTTCAAGAATTAAAATAAATATTAACATAAATTTATTTGATAAATTATGTATAAAATTATTAATTTATGATTTTAAAATAACATATTTAAATTTGACTTATAATAAGTAAATATATATTAATAACTAATTATTTTAATTTAAAATATTTTTTAACTTTTAAATTAGTATTAATTTTATAAATATGATATCATAAATAAGTATATAAAAACACAAAAATATATATTTATCTTACTTTATATTTTACGTATATCTTAGTTTATAATTGAAGGATGAATTGTAAGCCGTATGATTGAATATTCCAAAAACAATTTTAAAACATTTAAAATTTAATTTTGATCTCAAAAAAATTTTAATAATCATATAATTAGAATATAAAATATTAATAAATAAATATAATTTAATATGTTAATATTAAAAATATTTAAAAAATTATTAAAATAATTTTTTAAAAATTAATTCATATCATTATTTGATTGTAGATTTTTTTATAATTGTAAAAGAAATATTTAAAATAATAAAAAAATATTAAAAAGTTGAAGAGTTTTGATTCACTAAGTAAATATAACATTCAAACTTAATTTATATTTAAAATATTATAATATATTTATTTACTTATTTATTATAATATAAAAATATTAAATATGCAAATTCAATAATTACTGTAAGATTTTAATAACAAATTTATATATTATCTTTTTATTATAATTATATTTAATATTATTTAATTTTTTAATTACTTTTAATCTAAAATTTAAAGTCATAATCATTAATATACTACTTAAAAACAAATAACACTATTCTTAAAATTTAATTAATAAATAATTTTAGTTAAAGAATGAATAAGGAAAAAAACGAAAAGAAAATTTAAATTATCATATTACTATTTAATTTTGTGGTAATAAAAAATTTATATAAGTTTTTTAAAATTCTCATGCTTAGAAAAAAATCACAAATTTTGTAATATCAATATTTTTAATAGTATGTATATAATTTAAATTTAAATATTAAAAAATAATAAAAAATTAAAAATTTAATTAAAAAAAGTAAAATGAAAGCATTATCAATAGTTACTATAATAGAAAAAATTAATATAATTTTTATATTCAAATGAATCTATAAAATAAGTAACATTTGATATTTCAATATTGACATAAATTTTTATTGGTCTAGATATAAAAAGAAATTTACCTATAATACACACTTGACACAAATTTAATCAGATAAAAATAAAATATAATACATGATATTACTTTAAAATAATACAATTTTATGTTTATTCGATAAATAAAAAAATACCTTTATATATTTTATTGCAACAATATATATATATATATATATATATATATATATATATATTTACTTGTTTGAACAAATAATTCTTGAAAATTTACATTATTACAGTACACAAATATAAAATAATATAATATAAAAATCTATTGTCAAGTTTTTAAGAGTTATGTATGGTTTATTTATTATAAAGGTAAAGATAAAGATATGTTTCGTGATATATCATAAGACAAAAAAATCAATTTAATAAATGTTATTTTTCATCTATATTATAATTTATTTATTTTTTCATCATAAAAATAATTTAATAATATGCAATACAAAACTATAATTTTGTGAATGTGTAATTTTTTTATTTCAAATATATTTTAATTTTTAATGAACACTTTTAAATGCTAAAAGTATTAAACTAATTAATAAAATTATTTAAGTCAATACCATTTAAATTTGAATAAGATCTAAAACAAAATATATGATTTTATTTTTAATAAAATAGTAACTTAAAAAGTTTATTAAGTTTTTCTGAGGTTACTTTTATAAGATTTTAAGTAATTTTTTCATCTTTAAAATTTATGGTGAGCTTTTTCACTTTTTTTATATAATCAAATTTGAAATTTTTTATTAAATGTAATTTATTGCTAATTTTTTATTTTCATTCTTAACATTGTATAATTATCAATGTAAATTTTTTATATATAATTAATTCTAATAAATATTTCTTAAATACAATTTAAATATAATAATTACGAATCAATTATAATTTAAATTCCTACGATATGTAAAACATTCTAATTAATTTTAATAATTTTTTATTAAATACAATATATAGTTAATTTGTTGTTTTTATTTTTAATATATACCAACATTCATTTTATAATATGTGTGACCAAAATTATATGTAATTTTAAGTATTTTAAAATTTTCAATAATTTTTTGTTAAATACAATTCATGATTATTTTGTTGTTCTATTTTTAACATGTCTAATTACCCATATTGATCATTTGTATTACCAATATTTTATGTGATTTTGAGTATTGTAAAGTTTAATAATTATAAATTTTATTATAAATATAAATAGTAATAAGTAGATATAGTCAATTTTACATATATTGATTTATATATTTTAATTAAATATAATTATAAAAAATATTTTATAAGTGTTATAAAGATAATCAAAATTTAATAATATTATATTTTATTAATTACATTTTATATATAATTAGTATGCTTAAAATCTCTTAAAAAATAATATTTATAACATGAGATTTTATTATTTTTATAATTATTTTTTAAATATATTTATAAATATTCTATAAATTTTAAAATATGACATATACAATATGTCAACTCTATGATATAATTTTAAATAATATAAATTTATATTATTATAGATTAATTTAGTTAAAGAAATATTGATGGATTTGATATAATTTAATTAATTAAAAATAAAATTTAATACATGATATCACTTAAAAATAATACAGTTTTATACTTACACAATAAATTAAAATAAAATATATGAATATAATTTAATAAAAAAATAAAAAATATCAATATAAAAAATATATGTATTTAATTAGGTATATAACTCTTAATATTTACATAATTATAAAATACGAAAATAAAGTAAAATGATAAAAAAAACTTTTAAAAAGTTCAAAAGCTGTGTGTAATAAACAAATTTATTTGTATTATAATTTATTTATTTTTTATTATAAATATAATCTAATAATTTACAAAATAAAATGATAATTTAATAATATACAATATAAAACAATTATTTAAATAAATACATTTAAATTTGAATACAAGATACAATTTCATTTTTCATTAACATATCAATTGAGTTTTTAGCCAAAAAAAAGAAGAAGAATATATCACTTAAGAGCTTCATTCAATTTTTATAAAATTTTTTATGTAATTTAATTAATATTTTTTACCTTTTTTTATATTTCACAATGAATTTAATTTTATTTTTAATATTTAATAAATTTAAATATTATTTATTATATATCACTTATAGCAAATTTATTATTGTCTCTTTTAAAAATGTATAACTATCCATATAAAATTTTTATATAAAATCAATTCTAATAAAAATTCTTTAAATATAATTTAAAGATAATAATTATAAATTAATGATAATTTTAATTCTTAAATTATGCAAAATATTATAATTAATTTTAATAAATAATTATTAAATATAATTCATAGACAATATGTTATTTTTGTTCCTGACATTACCAATATTTATTTTGACCATCCATATTATTAACCATGTAAATAAATCTAAACATTTTAAATCTTAATAATTAAAATTTTTGTTATAAATATATATAATAATAAGTAGGTGAAAGGTCATATTTTATTTTTAATAATGTAATATTCATATCACCAATAATGTAACTAATTCTAAACGTTCTAAATTTTTATAATTATAAAATTTAATATAAATATACAGAGTAATAAGTAATTTCAATTACTAACATTATAAGTTACTCTAAGTATTCTAATTTTGTTGTAAATGTATATAGTAATAAATAGTAACAGTCAAATTTTACATATGGATGTAGAAAATATAATAATGTATAATTAAATAACAAGGCAAATCATTTTAATATGCATCAAAATTAAATTCAAAATATAAATGAGACACTCATCTTATAATGAACAAATAAACAATTATCCAAGTAACATTTTAATTTAAACGAATAATTAAACAATAACTATTTTATTTCGAGAAAAAAGAATAATATTAAAACAATACCAAATTCTGAAACGATCCCCATTTTGAAGTGTACACGTGTACAAGGAATAATAAAGTGAAAAGAGTTAATATTGATCATATTATCATACATAAATGATTAAAATATTTAAATTAAATCTTGATCATCCATTACAATTGCATCGTTAAATTAGCAAATATATATAAACTTGTGGTAGATTCGTTCGCATTAAAACAGCCACACACATAAACAAGCAGCATAAAAAAGGATAAACTACATTTTATCCGCTTATAATTTCAGATTTTCTCAACTATTACTTCTTTTATATTACTAAGCTCCCTATAGTTTTGGTTAAAATTGAAAAACGTTGAATCCTCTTATATTTGCTTAATTTAGCTAGAAAGTTAACCTTATTAACCACGGTTTTAGCCATGAATATGACAAATTTTTACTTTTATCCAAACTTTAAGGGAGCTTATTGATTAAAAAAAAGAGTAGTTCAATTTATCCTAAAAATTGATGCGGTCCTCAATCCTTACTGAAATATTGCATTAGCATACATATAAAATTAATCATTTACAGTTATACACATGATTGGTTAAATCCCCGGATATTTGCTGATATGCAAACAGACAGGACGGGACAATCCAGAGGAAAAATACTAAAAGCAAAACAATGGGACAGCTCTACTGCAAAAAGTATATATGATTATTTTTTACCCAATAGTGAGTCAAGCAGCGCAGCTTCTTCCTCCTGTGTGTAACCACAGAAACGAATTGAGTCAAACTTATCAACCAAAGAAAATATTACTTTGGAAGAATAAAGCCACATACCACCAAGGCATTAAATTCGGTCTCTTCATCTATGGCGCTAAGGACAGCAGGATCCTCAAGCAATTCCTGTTCACAAAAGTTGAGATTAGCAACCTTGTCTGATCACGAAATCAGAAGTTTTATCTCCCATACTTAGGCACTGACACAGATACCAAACTTCTATGATACAGTACAATAGTACGTCTTAGAAAATGAGAAAGTCCATTGCGCACCCTTACAAAATTGGGTACACCAATGCAATGCAAATAAGGACCATTAGATTAAATGGATAGTTTGAGATTGTTTGGAAATATCGTTTGGGAAAACCAAAGTATCACTCTATCAGCCAAACAAGGGAGCTGAGAAAGGAAGTAGAGAAATTCTATAACGAGAGTGTACTTACATCATCAGCAATTTGCAACATTCCATTCTGATCCTGCAGTGAAAGGATAAATTAATTATGTTCGGCTTTAGAACACTGGTTTCTCACAACAGTTAGATAAGCTGTGTGAACAAAGAGTACTTTGATCCTAAATTCACATTGCTATAGTGAACGGTTTCAAGTCAAGTCAACTATAAAATGCATTCGATAGAGAGGAAATATCGAAGGTAAACGGAGTACTGCCACTGTTATACAGAGGCAATAGTTGCTCTAAGAAACTTGACAGGTACCTTCACAGCAACAAAGAGAAGGGGATCAGAAGGCGTATATATCATGTAGTGTGCTCCATTCTGCAACAAAATTGTCATAAATAAGCATGTGTTAATTTTTTTAATGATCACAGTTCTACTTAAGATTAGTAACAGCCTAGAGGTTACTTCTGCAAAGTACAAATTAAATGACAAAAAATGCAGAAGAAAGGTATCTTAACAAATAAAGCACGCTTCTTCGTGATTATGCATACACAGTAAAAAGAAAAGTCATAAACAATACTGATTCATTGAAGAAAGGAAAGCTAACGTCTCACAAACCCCATTGGAGCAAGATAATTTTAATTTCTTACAGTTGTCAATAATGAGGTATGCAAAGGCATGAATTTGAGGATGTAACAGAAATACTTGACAACAAAACACATTTTTCATTTTTACAAAGTCAAGTTTGCTTACCAATATCCCAATGATCTTTAGAGCATAACATGCAAATATAAATATTATTACTGCTGGGAAGTATCTCCTATTCAGGAACTGTGTATTTGGCTATTTGCTATTATAATTAGGAATTGATTTGCATATTTTCTTAGTTTCCTAAAATAAAAGAGTGAAAATCATGTTATAGTCAATCAAGCTGAGGATTTTCTCAAGCAATTCAGAAATCTTTTCCTCCTTTTCAAGAATTACTATATTAGAAAGAAAAAAAGCATTTTAAATTTTGAGATTGAAACAATGTCTCCGACTTTGGGGTTGTAGATTTGCTATTAAAAAATAGGAATTGATTTTTTTCCTGATTCACTTTCATGTTTTCTTAGTTGCCTATAATTAGAGAATGCAAATCATGTTATATATAAATCATCCTGTGGAATTCAAGCAATTCAGAAATCTTTTCTTTCTTTTCAAGTATTAGTATGATAGAAATGGGATTGAAATTTTGAAATTGCAACATCACAGAGCAACAATAAGACATTAAAAAAAGTGTGGTGGTCTACAATTATTCCAGAAGACTTGGTATAAACATATTTAAATACAAGTGAAACATTTATAACAGGCATTGTGATGAGGATTTTACAAACTAATACATCTGTTTGTTCACCTTCATAAGTTTGTCTATATAAAATATGGAATATTTAATTTATAAAATAATTTATTTCAGAAAACCAATCATTATTATGGGCATATCAGTGAACAATAAAAAATATCAAGAGTATCAGACAAGAAAAATTATTCCGGTAGAGCTACAACAATCTCTAAATATCCAAATTCCAGAAAGGCCAATAATAACCAGGAAGCTGTGCCTTTGTTAAAGATAAACCTTTTCAAAGAAGACAAATACGATAATATAATTGTGCAATTGAAGGTAATTAGATTACCAGACTGAAGTGAGTAATTTCTACACCTTCAGTTGGCAAGCTATCGCCTTTACCATCTGCAAAATGAAAACACCATCTAATTAATTTTAGGCATCTAATTCAAGTTGTTATGCAGCACATTATCACTTTAGCATTCCCTAATCATCGTAAGTTGATCATCATCCCATATACTACAGGGAAGAGACAAAGTCCAGCAATATATGCTAGAGAAGTCCTTATAGGAGAAAAAGTTAGTATAAAAAATAAATAAAACTTCTTTCATAAGTTAGAAACAACTTATGTTTCTTTATTTTTTCAAAAGTTCTCTCATTTAACTTCTTAAAATTTGAAGAGATAAATTGTTTCTAACTTATGAAAAAAAATTTATTCATTTTTTATACTAATTTTATTTTTTTATAAGGACTTCTCTATAAGTTTACTTAAACTGAGCCATAATCTGCAATTATCTGTCTACATATTACACTTTTATATAATCTATTTAATAATACTAGACATGGCAATAGGGGAAAATGAAAATTGGGAGTTAAGTATGCAAAGCATGAATGGTCTCCATATGAAACTTAGAAACACAACAATAAATCAAGTGAAAGAATACAGGCAGACGTCACCCCACAATCTTATGGATGGAAAGGCATCTAAATCGTAAGAAAGATATCTTTTAACAGCAATTCTTGACCCAACTTACACATGAACATTGAACGAGAGAGATAAACAAGTCATCTTCAAAAACTTGAAATTGTCAGTTTTGCAGTCTACTGTTTATTAGTTTTAATAAAACTAGATATACAATTACAAAGTAATGGATAGGTTAAATTCGATTACTGCTAATATTTATAAGTAATGATTGTAAGAGAAGTTATTATCTTGAGAAGCAGCAACCATTCACAAAATAATATAAGAATAAGCCCATCATCTGCAATAAATAAATCCTCAGCAGCTCCTTTCATCTTATATGCTTGTACAGTAGCAAAGTCATTTTGATTTTAAAGGGGACATTAATTTCTGTTGAAAAACAATGTAATCAAGATTGTGAGTGGGTTTATGATGGGAAAAAGAACAAAAAGAAAGCTACATCTTAACCAGAAAGGTGGCTTTAAAACCAAACGGAATGAACAAACAGCAATACCAAGCTCTGTGACCTACCAAACATTTTCAGCTTTTAGTAAATAGATACAATGTCCAAACTACACAACCTACCAACAGCACCACATAAACTATAGAATCTTTGTAACATTAACAGTCATGTTGTGAACAAGAAAAATCTTCCATGATAATCTGAATATAACCTCTTTTTGTTGATCTTCTAATGTCAAAAGAATAAGACATTACTAGTTAAGTAAAAAGGACAAGCAAAGAATTCCTTGCCTGTATGAAAGTCAAATATGTCCTCTTCTGTGTAACAAAAGCCACCACGAGCTGTATAACAGAATCTAATATGGACAAGCAGAAACATTTAGTGATCAAACACAATTCTATGAATTTTTTAATCATGATAAAAGACAGACATACCCACTATAAACCAGATACAATCGTATCTTGGCAAGTGCATAAGCAGCAGATGGAAGAATAGATTCAAGTTCCTCATCACTGACCTAAGACACAGAAATAAAATACAAATAGGAATGAAGCTTCAAATGTACAACAACAGAAACCTTTCTTGCTAGGGGGGTTCACCTGCTAGTACATGGATGGATCAAATCAAACGACATCATTGTGTTTTGTTAAAATAAGATTTTAACACAATCAAATTATATATCCATTAAATAAAGATTTGATAAAGTTTAAAGTTATCCATCTATTGCCTAACACAACCCTTCTCATTTGTTCAAGCTTGGGAGTAGCTATGTAATAGTTAGCATCAACACAACATAGGCAGGGTTAGGAATGAAACATCACCAAGAAATAAAAAGGGAAATGTCCTTTTCCTCATCTGATAAGCAATGAAGTTTTATTAGTGAAGATGGTTGAATACTTAAAAATTAGTTCATGGCTTTTACCAATACGACTTGTAATATTCCCTTCGGTCCTTCTATGAAAACCTTTCAACTAAACAACATAAATTAAGAAAAGTTGTTAGAAGTATTTAACATATTGGTAAATTAATTATAATATTTCAAGTTTATCCCTATTTAAAGTCAAACTTCATTATTATATTAATTATTAAGAAGTTAGAAAGATTCAATAATGAAAGGAAAATATGTGAAATAAAACAATAAATGCTTCTAAATTTTTGCAAAGGAAATAATGTATTAAGGACCAACAAAAATCTCTAAAAAATTCTTATTAAAAAGACTAGAGAGAGTAAAAACCAAGAGCATATTAAAGCTATATTTGGTAAAGGTAACTTGTAGCTTATTTAGGAGCTTGTACTTTATTGACTTAATCAATAAACTTGTAGAACAGTTTGATAAATAAAAAATGAGAGCATGTGACTTTTAAAAGCTAGTTTCTCAAAAACTATCTTAAGAAGCATTTAACTTTCAAAAGTTAGCTACCAATGTTTCTATTATATTTTTACCCTTCATTTTTTCAAATAAGACAATTTACCCTTCACACAATTAAAACTCTCCATACTATGTTAATTTCATTGCATTTTTATCCTCTTCACCTACAAGATAAACCTATTTATTTTTTTTCTCTATTTTTTTTTATATGTTCTCTTATCTCTTCTATACAAATGTATTTTATATTAAAGAAAAATATAGCTTAGAGTGTTTCATGTTCAAAATATATATGAAGAAATTTGTTTTTCTATATAATTTTATTAATTGATAGTAAATAAATAAATAAGTGATATCTAATTTTAATATTACATGTTTTTTTAAGTTATTTAACACAAATTAATTAGTTGCACAATTAGTTTATCAAACAATCTTAATTACATAAGTTATTTATATAATTATATGCTTTCAGCTATAAGACCACAGTTTTCAGCCAGCTTCATAGTTAGAACCTACAGGCTTGTAATGTTGCCAAACAAAGCCTAATTGCATATCCTATTTTTAAAAGCTTATTGAATAGGTCAAGAAAAGACCCTCCTAAATCAAAATTAGAGGTAGCAACACCAATAAATACATAAACAAACAAAGATTTAGACTGCGGAATAGAAACTTACATCCGACCATCCATCACCTGTGCTCTGTAATATCTGAATAGGCCTAAAATAAAAATTCCACAATCAGTCAAGAAATAACTAAACCAAAAGGTCACCAAATTTCTAAAACCGGCATAGTCACACAATTGTAGAAACTTTTTACTTACATGTCAACCGGGCAGAGCAACGTACATTCATCACCTTGAGAACTTGTGAACTCTCTCCTTATAACACACTCTAAGGGAAGGTTATTCGCTGGATCAACCTGATTAATAATTTGTAACAATCCAAACACAGTAAGAACCCTGACATTCCAAATTCTCACAAATAAACTTCCTAGTAAATCTCAAAGACCATAATAGACACTTGGAATACAGCCACATGTTCTACGCAAATTACATTCTCATAAATCTACATTGAGAAAAAGAAACTCACTAGAGTGGCGAGTCGGTCAACGGAAGCAGATAGAACTTTGCCGCGTTCGTCCAAGACGAATCCCGTTGGCGGTTTGGGTAGTGACGTTGGAAGTTGAGGCGGAAAAGAAGAATCGGAAATGGAGTTGGAATCAGAAACAGTTACGGAATCTTTGCTCTTACTATTCTTTTTGTTGTTGTTGTTGTTGTTGTTGTTTCTGCTTCTGTTGGATGAGGGAGAGGAACGCTTCTTAGGTGGCACAGTGGATGACTTGGAGGCACAACAAATAATAGGACGAAGCTTAGGGATTCGAAGTGTGACCGAGAAGAAGCGTGCTTGGTCGAGCTTCGAGTGAAGAAACGACGATTCAACTCGCATGGAGGAGGGAAAGCCGTTCAAGGTTGGTGCCGCCATTTCCGTTCCCTTTCACCACTGTCTTCTCAGTACTCAGTGTAAATATCTCATAGCATACTAATTTTTATTTTTCTATTTAAGGAATATCGCAAGGAGCTTTTTCTAAATAGTTTTCTCAAATCAAATGTTTTTAAATCCAAACTAATTTAATTAAAATTTTATTTACACTGATTTTCAAAAAAGCCAACCTACCCTAGAATTTATCAAAATAAATAAAGGAATCTATTAACGAGTTGATTTTAGTTAGATTTAAAAATACATCATAATTCTATATATGTTTAAATAATATTTTGCTTTAAGTATTATATCGTCACTATTTATTTTTAAAAATTATTGACTATTATATTGTAAGTTAAGAAATATTTTTTAATTTAGACATATTTGAAGACAATTGTAAATTAAACTAACGTAGATAGTACATTATTTTAAAGTTAAACTAAATTATAGCTACATTACTACTTTGGTTAAAGTACATGTTTTTTTTATGTGTTTATCAAATAGAAATTAAGAAATAGGTTGATCTTTAAATAGATAACATGTTTAAAGTATTTCATTAGTTATATTGGTCATTTAGATAATATCGTGAAGTGTTCAACTTTTATAAGCATGTAATACAGATAGACAACATCTTTTATATAATAAGTATTATCACACATTATTGATTGCTATAACTTAAAAGAAAAATATTTATGTCTTACCAATAACATTTTTAATGTAAGAATGAATCTTAGCTATGGTTCATTTGCATATTATAAAAAAAATGGTATTTATTTGAGATCTGATCGGTCACAAAATATAAAAAGTATTATATAATTTCATACATTGAAGGTTAACTTCAAAATACTTATCATATCTATTCATTTGTTACACATGACTAACAATTTCAATCATTAATTTTAAAAATATGACATTAAAAAGAAGTTATAAAATTAGGTATATTCTTTATTAACTTATGTAAACCTTTTAATTGGTTATTAAATCATTACAAATATGTGATTTACGTTAATTATAAGATATATACCATGTAAGGTAATATTTGAGGATAAATTGAGAAAATTTTATAACAAACCTAAAAACATACAAAGGTAGAATAATTATATATGTAAAAAGAAATTAGCACTGACTTATGATAAGAAAAAATAATGTTATGAACACCTTACCAAAATAAATCTTTCAAAAGTAGTTAACAAAGTTTTAAAAGTTGTTAAAAATCTATCCATCATTGCTTTAATAAAAGCCACGTATGGATTCACAACCTTTAAATAACATACATTTTTAAATATGTTATTTTAGTTGGAGTGGTTATGTATGTGAAACAAAAACGGTTCATATATACTTTGAGGCTATTGATAACTACAAATTGTGATAAAAAAAATAGTTTTAGATCATTTATAGTTAATAATTTTTGGGTAAAAAAAAAATTCTTTTTGACATTTTTATATTTAGAAACACACTCACGACAAAAGAAAAAACAGATGGTGAAGAAAAACATTTCACCTCTTACTTAAATTTTATTGTTTTATAAATTGACTGAATGATTAAAAACTATTTCACTTATCATTTCTTCTACAATTTTTGAAAATTCTTGTTGAACACATGACTATCCAAGCCATTGTACATTATATGTTGCTGTGGTAAGTAAACATCGTATAAAACTTTTATGTATAATAATTTTTCACCTCTACCCTTTTCAAGTTTGTTGATATAGAACTTGGATGAATAGTCTACTTTAATCCAAACAATCCTTCTTTCTTCAAAAGTCTCATATTTCTTCGTTTTGTGAGCAATTTTTCTTAATTTTTTTATTTTGTTGCAATATTCTCTTGTTGTAGAATTATTCAAATAATAAATTTTATTTTCAACTTGTAAAAGTCAACTTATAAAAGGAACACATTTTCTTGAATTGATTCTTTTTTGTTTATTGTCATTCTTTATTAAAATCTTACTTTAATATATTAACACGAATGAATTGTTGACTACAATACTATATTAGGTAAAGAGAGAAAAGAGTTATTTGCATTTATATCTTTAAGAAAAATCCACATAAAATAAAAGAAATAAAGTAAAAATAAATAAATGATATTTTGACAAAATTTATTATTTTGTAATTTTTATTGAAAGAAATTATAAACCATCATATTTATAAATTTTAAGATAGAAAAAATTAATTTTTTTTATTGAATCAAATTATAAAACATCTCACCTATAAGTTTTAAATAAAAAATTACAAACTTGATAAAAATAAAAAAATATTTGCTCAGACAGATTATCCTTTTAGCATCTCTTGAACATCAAAATAAATTATATTTCTTGATGCACCACACACGTATTAGTGTGTGGTATAAAGAATATATTGAGTTTTTTTTTTTTAAATGATGCAACAATATTTTTGTATTTTTAAGTTATAAAGTAAACATACTTTTATATGGAATTTGATTATAAAATTATTAAAATTTATTGTGATGGACGTTAAAAAATATTTTGAAAATTTTGAACAATAACAACGTATTACTTATTTATATGTGTGTGTATATATATATATATATATATAAATTACTCTTGAGAAACAATATTAAAAACGTGATTTAATAAAAAATAATTAATATTCTTCTTATACCAAATGTATATTTTTACCTTTGTTTTTTACTAAAAAGTACTGACCTCTTCTATAAAATATTTTTACTCTATAAAACAAGATTGTATTTTTTTCAAATAAGATATTAACTTTTCTTATATTTTAACTATATTTGTTTTCCTAGTTTTCATCTATCGCTGGTAGCTGGTCCACTGTTGACAAAAATCTCTTCCCTTTGAAGATTTCTAGTGTGATCTGAGCACTCACGTGTACGAATATAGGGGCCTTCCTTCCCTTTGGGTAAGCATTAGGCATAATTAGAATTGATAACAAAATACTAATCTTTTGATCTCTGCATGATATCCTTCCGTAGGTTGTTAATGTGAGAAAAATACCTACAAAAGATACTTTGATATTGAAGTCATGTCTCAGTTTTGAACAGTAAATATTATTAAATATTTATAAGTTTATCCCTTATTTGTATTTTTTTTTTTATCTCTTACCTTAAGAAGTATTATAAGTTAATAGACTTGTTAAGTCAGTCTTAGTTTTACTTCTTTGATAGTAGATAATAATTTAATTATTATCTTTAATTAGGTTAATTATCTTATACAATCAAAGAAGTACTTAATTTCTTTTAAATAACATTGAATAGCGTTTTATGTGATACATAAATCATTCATAATGATTAGTAACTTTGAAAAAAACTCTTCACTTTGCTTAATCATAAAATCTTCTTCCCACAAAAATATTATTTTATTTTCACCTTTTTGACGTAAAATAACACAATCTGGAATCAAAACACCTTTTTAGTATTTGTATTAGTCACTAACTTAGGTTAACTACTTGATACAAGTTCCAGGAAAATCATTTAAAGAAACGCCTGAAATTCCTTAATTTTATCTTTAAAATATATACACTAACATCACATTAGTCAATCATGTTTGTTTCATAATATTATACACATAGAGGATCAAATAACAATTCTAATAATTTTATATAAATTTTAAAAAATTAAAAAAATACTAAACAACTTTATTTTAGCAAATGATATATTTTTTAAAATATTAATAAAATATTGATCACAACCTTTCATGTTTATTAATATTTAATTTAACTAAAGCTTTTAATATATATAATTATTTAATAAATTTTGATGTCTAAAAAAAAATATTAAATAAAAGTAACTTATTTGAGGCTTATTTTTAAATTAAAAAAGTTAACTCCTTTTCGCATATCATTCATTACTCTTAACCATAAAAAGGTGCTTTCAAAGTTACGTTGAGGAAGAAACAGACAACCATTCCGTATTGGAGTCTCTTTTCTCTTCCAACTTTGAGAGCTGCTGTCATTGACGAGAAGGTTTTTAATACTCCAATTTATTGATGAAACAGTTAACCTTTTACATAAAATAATCTGTTAAAATTTGAAAACAATTTTTTTTCCTCATTAAAATACAAAAACCATACAAGTTCAAGAATTATATTTATCATCTACGATTATATTCGACTTAAAAAAATTATTTTATATAAAGAATACCTGTAATTTAAAAAAAAAAAAAAAAGCGATTGTTAAGGTGTACCCAACTTTTGAACGAAGTGAATCGAATATATAAACAGAGAGGGAGAGGGCTGAAGGAAAATAAAAACCGCGACAAAAGAAGAACGAAAAAGAAAGACGGATAAGGTGATTCTTAAAAAGTGATTTATTATTTATATTTACATATTTTTTTGTTCTAATTTAGTTTTTATAAATTATAAAAAAATAATAAAAATTAATTTAAGTACATTTTATATTATTATTTATTTATAAATTATCATATTAATGAGAATAATTATTTTTTAAATTAATTAATACAAAATTATATTTATAATTTATTTTAATTAATTAATAGTGCAGAAATTTTAATTGATAATTTATTAGAAAAATTTATTGATTAATTAATCTATAAAATACTTTTTTAATTATCAACTTTTGTATTTACTATTGATGAAACATTCAATAAAATTACTTTTATTTTAAGTTGTTTCGTATATATTTAAAATTAATTAAGAATAATGTAGAAATTTTATATTTTTTTGTTAATAATTTTATTTTTAACTTATATATATATATTTGTTGATATCATTTTAAATTTTAGAAATTAAAGTTATTATTGACTTTTTTATTATTTTATATAAATTTAAATTTAAAGTTTATATTTAGGAGTGTTATTTTTAACATTTATGTTTATTATATATATTAATTATTAACATTTGATTAAATTTTTTTTGAATATTAAAATAAATTGTATCCTAAGTATTGAATTTTATTATTTTAATAATATTATTCTTAATTATAGAATTAAGTCACAATAATTTTCAAAAAGTTGTTATTTTAAAAACTATATGTAATTAATACAAAATATAAAATTACATATATATATTATAAAAAAAAAATTCTTACACTAGTATAAGTTTAAAAAATTTTATATTTAATTTAAGTCTTTAATTTAATTTAAATATAATAATCAATAAAATAATAAATTATAATCTGTTAAATTTAAGTTAAATAAAATGCTCAAATTTATTTTGAAAAAGATTTTACCTTCCATAAAATAATATATAGTACTAAACTAAGAATAATTAACAATGTAATTCCTAAATAAGTTAGTTCACCCGTTGCCCTCCATGAGTTTCCTAAGTGCCGTGCTTTTGTAATTGAGCAATCATGCACTCACAAAAAGTGGTATATAAAACAAGTAATGTATAAAAAAATGAATTATAATATTTTTTACATTATCTATAACCATTTCAAAACTAAAATGTTTTGCATTTAGAATCCTTGCGAATGGATCCTCCACAGCAGCAGGGTGTGCAGTGCAGGCAGATCTAGATGCAATCATTGAAGTTTGTTAAATTAATATTAGGATATTATTTTATTATATAACGAAATAGTTTATTTATTTGTATATATATACACGGTATAAATTGCCCAATTATCATCAACATTTATTTTAAAAATAAGCTAAAGTCTTCGTTTAATAATATATACATTTAATTTGATGAGTAGAAATTGTGAAAGGTAGAAGCAAGCAGTACTTTCCAACGCCTCATTGGACTGACTTGACTGCAGAAGAGGGAGGAGAGGGAACCCCAATTCTCTCTCGCTCTGTCTGTCTGTCTCTCTCTCTCTCTGAGAACGGCACAGCAGAGAGAAGTAGTGTTTGGTATTCACATCACAATCAAGTAAACTCGTTTTCATTATTCTTTTGTGCTTCTGAACTTGATGGTGTTTTCAAACTTGTGTTGCTGTGTTACTGATTTATTTCTATTGGTCGGTGCGTTGTGTTCATATCAATGGTTTTGGGATAGTTTTAGTGTTTTGATTTGATTGAGATTCTTCGACTCGATTCAGCTTAATCGTGTTTGTTTTGTTGATGATTGTAGTATCATAAGGAATTTCCAAATCAGCAAACTCTTTCCGTAAAATCTAAACCAACACCACACTCTCTGCCGCGCCGCACCGCCGGGAACCGCCAGGTACCAGACGATCTGCACCCTAGACCAGACCCTTCTAATTTTATTTTATCTTTTACTTATTTTCCTGATTCTTTTCTTAGCTCTTTACTTGTTTATTTTATTTTATGAATTTTAACAACAAATAGATATTACATTTTTTACTAAAAATTATAGAATGTCACGTAATTTAATATATTAATGAAATAACGGGACTGTGTAAAGTTTTTATTAAAAAATATATTAAATTACAATAGAAATCATAAAAAAAGTTTTATTTATTATTTTTTTTACAAATTTTTATTTTTAATTAGCATTGCTCATTAATCCTATTAAATATTTTATTTTTAATAAAAAATTTCTATTTATTAATTTTAATTGTATGCCCTTGAAGATATGATAGAAAACTTTGTTTCGGGGGGCATTTTGATTTTCAACTTGTTTGGATCACTTGGTTTTGAATGCCACCATGGGGCGTGTAGTGAAAGGAAGTTTCATTTTCCTTTCTCTGTAGCCCAATTGGAAAAGGTAAGTTTGCAATGTGAAAATCCTTAATGATTATTAGGCTTAGTTCAGTGAGTTGGACGAGCTTGGGTTCTCTCTCTAGGGGAGGGAGCTGAAGGTTTGAACGATTCTTGACTTGGTATTTTGATTTTTGAGTGAGTGGGTTGAGATTAACAAGGATAGTTTAGTGGGTTAGTTCCTCTTTCTCCCACAGAAGTTAGTATTTTCAGTTATTACTGGGTTGGATTTTTAATAGGGTTTAGTCAACTTTTTCTCTTTAGATTGTTGGACCTTATCTGTTAATTATATTCAGTGTATTTTAAATTCGTTTGTGAAAGATTATTGTTTAAATAAAAATGTTTTTGAAATTTAAGTACAATTGGTAGTATTTATTTATTTTATCATGATAACGGTTGTGATAATTATATATGAACTACTTTTGAAATATCATTTACCACCTCATTACTTATTATATTAATTTTTTTCTATTTTGAAATCTTAAATTTTTAAACCCATAAAAGAAATACTAGATCGCTATTAAAAAAAAAGAAATAATATATCATTTTTATGGCAAAGATGTTAAATTTTTTATTTTAGTTTTGGCATTTCAATCACTTTCAATTTTGTTTATTTTTTAAAAATTATTTGCCTACTTATGCATTTCATGATAACTTCTCACTGATTAGAAAATATGGTAATAAAATTAAACAATACATGCAATTAATTTCGAATATAGGTAAGTCAATTCAATAAAAATAAATGAAAGTATTTCAGTAAAATAACTGAAAACCAATAAAGATAAACTTTTTATAATAATTAAAATCCCAGTTGTAGTTGCAAAATTTGCAATTCATACGTGTAATATTTCAATAAAAATAAAAAGAAAAAATTTAAAATCTCAGTCGTATTATAAATATTTACTAAGTATGAGTTATCTACTTTACACATGTTTTTGTGTGTTTCAATATTAGATTTTTATTATTGAATTTTTATGAAGGGAAATCAAAATTTATTAATTTTCAATCATTCAGTTAACGAATGCAGGAGATAAACTTTAAAAGTTTGGAATTATTTCAATATGTGGTTTTTTTGTATTGAAATTTTTTTATTGTTATTATTTTTACATTTTTCTTAACTTATGCAAAATTGTACAAGTTATGCATAGTAAACTTTTATTAGAAATTATATAATTTAATACATTAATACTATTAAATGTTATAATTTTCAATAAAAATTACTATATTTATAACTTTTTATACTATACAATGTTATACAAGTTACAAAATTGTTATTATTATTATATAAGTATTTATTGGAGAAGCAATAAATAATAAGAGAAAGGGAAAGAAAGCGAGGAAAGCTATACAAGAGAAAAGAAAATTAGCAAGTTCTATTAATCATGGTGGGATTTTATTTAATACAAAATTTGTCTTTTTCTAATATGTTCATATCATGTTAACATTAGAAGAGAATCCAAAGCCCTTAGAGTAGCTACTTTAATTGATATCTACTGACAACTGTCAGTTCTTAACAGGATGACAGAGTGAAATAGCCTTAAAAGAAAATATAACTGTTAACACAATATATAACAGTAACACTGTAACAGATACCGGAAGTCCAGTGAGAAAGTGGAGCAGGAGTCTTCTTTTGAGGCCCATGTTGCGTTTCTAAGGAGGGTTGGCGATGAAAAATGAGTTTTGTCCATGTTTATTAAGCGCTAAGCAAAATTAAAAAGAAGGGGAAAAGTGAATCAGGTGACATGTCTAGTTAAACAAAGATTAAGTGGAGTTCATGACAAAAAAAAAAAAGATTGAGTGGAGTATGGACAATTACGATGCACAGATACAATACGTGTATTGGATACGCCGGAACAACTATTCTTAAAATATGTAGGATATGATACGTGCAATATATGTATATAGATATGCAAAAAAAGTTCATAAAACATTATAACTATATAATTGTAATTCCACAAATGACCAATCTATATCGGAAGCATGCTTCTTAGACAATTCTATAATCATTGTCAACGTAAATCATAGCCTATACAAACGAGAATAGTACTAATCTCATTCTCTTCTATAACATCATCAGTATAAAGGATAGCTTCCATGTCTAGTTTGCTAGGAGATGATGCTTCTATTTTATGCATGCATGTCTCATATGCACTGTATCAGATTTTCATAACTTTTTTTTTTTCAAAAAAGAAAAGAAAAAAAAAACCCATCAAACATGTAGATTAATTAATGTGGAATTGGTTTCATTTAACTAATGAATTTTGAGTTTGAGTTCCGGTGAATGTAATTAAATACTTGATGCGAGAAGTTTGCTACTTGGCTCGAACAAGATTTATACTTCTTAGACACTCATCATAAAACAGCTACTCTCACTTTTGTAGTTGAGTGACACTTAATAGTCTGAGTGATTCTGTAACTTAGATGATTAGGTGTATCGGATATTCATAAACTAGACAATCTGACTTTGTATTTTCTTTATTCATATTCTTGAATTTTTTTAGGTTTAAGATTTATTTGGGGATTCCCTTCACACATCATATGTAAGCATTGATGCTTCTTAGACACTCATCATAAAACAGTTATTCTCACTTGTGTAGTTGAGTGACACTTCTTTAGTTCGAGTGACTCATTAGGTGTACCAGATATTCAGAAACGAGTATCCAACTTTTTTTGGTTCTTGTTTCATATTCTTGAATTTTTTTTAGGTGTGAGACTTATCTGGGGATTCTCTTCACAATGGAATGATACAGTTAGTTTTTTTTTCCTACAAATGTTGTCCAAGGCTCAAACAGCGTTCTCTTTCAAGAATAAATTGATCAGCATGGTTTATATACAATAAAATGATAAGAACTTATAATCCTTTGTAATAGCAATTGTAAAAGTAAGCATATAAACTCATTTTGGCTAATTTGCATTTTCCTTTTAAATGAATGTTCCCGTGATAATTTCATCTCTCAAAATTTAATTAAACCCCTATATATATACTATGGTTTCACCATAACTGATCTATATCATTATTGTCATTATTACTCAGCTTACCTGATTCATATATAATTGTAGCAGCCTCTTTCTTTTGTGCATGCTTTAATAGTTTGTCAGTGGTTTATGAATACAACTCAAGTAGTTGGATGAACAAAATAAGGTATATTACAATAGTTTCTTAATTATATTTGCACTGCTTTTGATCTCTTGTCCATCAAAAGATGGTAGAAAACGCTTCCAGAGCAAACCTTAGCTACCGTCGAGATTATGACATTGAGGAGGACTCCATAGATGGTGTGCCGTTACAAACTAACTCTGAATACTACGACGATGATGGCCATGATAAACGAACAGGTACACGCTAATTACATGTTTATTTTATACTTCGTTTTTTTAATTGTATGGAATGGTGAGATTTGATGCCTAACTTTGTGGCAGGAAACGTTTGGACTACAAGCTCCCACATAATCACAGCTGTTGTAGGATCTGGTGTGCTCTCCTTGGCCTGGGCAATAGCTCAGATGGGTTGGATTGCTGGTCCTGCGGTGATGCTCTTATTCAGTGTTGTCACTTTGTACACTTCATCATTTCTAGCTGATTGTTATCGTACTGGTGACCCCAAATTTGGGAAGAGAAATTATACTTTCATGGACGCAGTTCGCACCATACTGGGTACAATACTTATCGCATTAATATGATTAGTGGCACCATCTGACACGATTTTTTTCTTGGAATTGAAGTATGAATGACATGATTTCTGCTTTACCAACAGAAGTGTTTCTTTTTGACAATATTAGCTTGCACCATCCCTTCAAAGTTCAAATTCAGATATTTGTGGTTGAATTTAATAAAAAACTTTCGTGTGAATTTACCATTTCTCTCTATATATTGACAATTGTAATCTTTTTAAAATGGAATGCATGTATGATGTGCCATAACATGCATTATAATGGATTTTGCAGGCGGGTACAGTGTTACGTTTTGTGGGATAGTTCAGTACCTGAATCTTTTCGGAAGCGCAGTAGGATACACAATTGCGGCTTCCATTAGCATGATGTGAGTTCGCCCTTTGCTATGTCCTTGAAATTATAAATTTAGAAATTGAGCTGATTTATAAATAATATAAGTAGAAAGTAATATAAATTAAATTATATTTAAAATAATCTTTATTTTAATTGTGTGTGTATCAGATTTGAATTTTTCGATTAACTTATTTTGACCTATTTTAACTGACAACTTTGTTCATATTGATTTATCCATTTAAAAAATTTTAAGCAAAGATAAAAAAAAGAAAATTATTAAAATAAATTTTAATTTATCCTTAATATGTTCCAAATATGGACATCCATCTTGATATCAATTTAAATCATCTTCTTCAACACATTCAATTAATAAAGTTAAATACCATTCAGTTCAATTAGATGACAACTGAAACATGTGGCATGATAGTTCGTTCACTTCATTTTCACTTGCAGTATTTCTTTCTACTGATAGGATTATGAGATTATCTAGTTTGATGATGGTTGAATGACTGATGAATTTCTTTCAATTTCACTGATTTCGGTTAACAGGGCAATCAAAAGGTCTAATTGTATCCATTTCTCTGATGGAAAAAACCCATGTCACGTTTCCAGTAACCCATACATGATCAGTTTTGGCGCAATGCAAATTTTATTTTCTCAAATCCCAGATTTTCATAACATGTGGTGGCTCTCAATAGTTGCTGCGGTCATGTCTTTCACCTATTCCATAATTGGTCTCGCTCTTGCAATTGCCAAAATTGCAGGTTATTTTCCTTCTTTGACCTGTTTGATAGAAACTTTTTTTTAAGTCTTGGCTGAATTTTTTTAATAAAAATAGCTTATAATACAATTCTTATAAGTTCTTTTTGGCATATTTAAATAAGTTTTTTGGTATAATTTATCCAAATAAACTCTTTAGCTTGTTCTAAAAAGTTTGCTGATCAAAATTATGACATTTTCATATGATAAGAACTTATTGCATAAGTGCTCAATTAAGTTGTATTATCAAATGCTCCTTAATTGTTCAAAATTTAGTGACATGACACTTGAACTTATCAAATCATATAGAGTAGTGTAATTTAAACTCTTCTAGATATGCAAAAATGCCTATGTGGGGAGCCACTATGCACCTTTATCAGTTCAAGGAGCTAAATCGCTGAATTTTTAGTATCATGATTTTTTTGTACAATTGACTTGCAATTAAAATGGGTTCTTACTTTAACCTGTTTTGTTTAATTGGTTTTGATACAGAAACGGGTACTTTCAAGGGTAGCCTCACAGGAATAAGCATTGGAACTGTGACAGAGGCCCAAAAAGTATGGGGAGTTTTCCAAGCTCTTGGTAACATAGCCTTCGCCTATTCGTATTCTTTCATTCTCCTTGAAATTCAGGTACACCATTTTTTTCCTTCTTAAAAAAGTAAGGAAAAACAATAGAATTTTATCATATTAAAGACTAATGCAATATATCAGTATCACATCACATTTGTATAATTTTTAATTTTTTATTATAGCTGACCTCACTTTGTTTCTTCCACACTTATTTTTTCACCTTGTACTCCAAGTGTGTATGGCAACGAAATTTATCCAAACTAATTACATAATATTCTGACTTCATAGGATACCATCAAATCCCCGCCATCTGAAGTAAAAACAATGAAGAAGGCTACAAAGATGAGTATTGCAGTGACCACAACATTTTATATGCTTTGTGGCTGCATGGGCTATGCTGCTTTTGGAGATTCAGCACCTGGGAATCTGCTCACTGGATTTGGTTTCGATAAACCATTTTGGCTTATAGATATTGCTAATGCTGCCATTGTAATTCACCTTGTGGGGGCATACCAAGTGTATGCCCAACCCCTCTTTGCTTTCATCGAGAAAGAGGCTGCAAAAAGATGGCCCAAAATTGACAGGGAATTCACAATTTCAATTCCTGGTTTTCCACCCTACAATCAGAACATATTTAACCTAGTTTGGAGGACAGTGTTTGTTATCATAACCACTGTTATATCAATGTTGCTGCCATTCTTCAATGACGTTTTGGGAGTGATTGGAGCATTGGGGTTTTGGCCTTTAACTGTCTACTTTCCTGTGGAGATGTATATCATACAAAAAAGGATCCCAAAATGGAGTACGAGATGGATTTGTCTGGAATTGTTGAGTGTTGTCTGCCTCATAGTAACAATCGTAGCTGGCCTTGGCTCAGTGGTCGGTGTCGTGCTTGATCTCCAGAAATATAAACCATTCAGCTCATACTATTAAACTCGACATACATCTATTGTCTTGCAGGGATGGTTGTGGTCTTGATTGCATCATTATCTTCTGAGTGGTGCTAAATCAAAATTACCACCATGTTACTAGTCATGAAGTATTGGTACTTCAAAATAATTGCTGTCCGATATTTCTGGCATACTTTTAGTCTACATTATTTAACTATTTTTTTGTACCAACGCAAGTGGTATATCGTATTAATTGAATAACGTGTAGTAATTTATTGTGGTGTACTATGTGAAAGTTATGTTTTTATATTAGTTTGAGATTTGTAATTTAATGTAAATATTAAATTTTATATTATATATCTCATTGGTTTGTCTAAATTGTGTTTTGTTATGTTCGTGCCGGATGAATGTACGCTTCTTCCAATTTTACTATTTCTCGCTTAAATGCAGTTTAATAAACATACAGAGATTTCCTGATCTAAATTCAAGAGGTTTAACGCTTGCTTTGGATTACGGTATCAGAAGTTCGATCTAACACTTAGATTCTCAAATGGCATATGATCCTATCAAGCATGGTCTTAATGGGCATCAAAGGAGCATTGGGAAGCTTTTAAACTGTGGAGCACAAGCAACTTCATGGCTGGATAGCAGAATGAATGGGTCAAGGCATTAATGATGGTTCGTTCTTGCTGTGGCAGACTTGTCCTACAGGCATTTAAGTTAGTTGCACTAGGATTTATCGTGCACGTTAGAGACTAGTATTAGTCCGTTTGCCTTTTGTCTTTCATGTTTTTCAATCGTTCAATGCTTTTAAATTCTTGATAGAACCCCAGTCCTGAGAGCTTAGCGTTGAAAGCTAGTAGAACATGTGTGTGATGGATAAGGTTCAAATTCTATATATTTAACAAATTTTTACATCCTTTCTCCCACTCCCTCACTCCAATGACTGAAAGAAGGCCCTCCCTCACACTGCAAACAATTTCAGCTCGATCGTACGTTAGAATGCAATTCCACATTTCGACGTCAACCTGGGTTGGTTTAATATACAGTACATTACTACTTTAATTTTTTCATGTCTCTTTTACCTAATTTTATTTAGATTTAAATTCAATTTATAATTTAATTTTGGAAGACATTCGCGCTAGTCTTTATCACCAATAAACGTTAGCAACTAATGGGGACCCACGGCTCATAATAACTAATGTATACGTGGGAAGGCGAGAGGGTACATCATCATATACAAGAGAGAGAGAGAGAAACTATGCAGTAAGGGGATAGATGGAATGTGCATGTGAGAGTCCATTATTGTAGCGAGTGTGATATAATTAAATAAGTGTAACAGAAATTAGGCGAAAATTTTGAGTCTTGAAACTTCGAAAGAGAGCGAGGTCTCTTGAAATATGAAATTTAATAGACAATTAAACTAAAATATGGTATTTCAACACTTTTTGATTAACTAATAAAATATCAATATTATTATAAAAAATAAATAAAATTAATTAAAAATACAGCAAATGTAGTGCAAAAGTATAATAAATATCAAAATAACATGTTTAATACAAACTTCAAACATTAAGAGTATGCTTGTTTTCTATTTTGAATACTACATTTTATTTTTAAAAACTAAAAACTCTTTTCAAAATAGAAAACAAACATACTCTAATATACCAAAATCAAACACAAATTAAAATAAGATTCTTCAATATGTAAAACTTCAACACTTTATTTAATAATTTTTTATAAAATATAAAATTGATTAATCAAATCATTGAATTATTTTATATTATTTATATTAAATTTTATATAATCTAAATATTTGTATGTACATTATTTAAAATTTAATGTTTACTTATATTTTAAAAATATTTGTTAAAATATAATAATGCAATGAAATATTTATTAATTAATTTAAAATTTTATAAAATTAATCTATTTAATAATATTTTTCAAACTAATAATTAAATTTATTAATATAACATTCTATAAAAAATGATTAATTAATTTATATCAATTAAACATTAATATCAATAAATCTTGATTTTATAAATCATGATACCACTCATCTAAACTAAAAATAAAAGAATAAAACAAACTTGCAATAAACTTAATTGAGTAATAGGTACTATGTAGCACTTTCTTAAGATTTGTAAAAAAAAAATATAATTAATTACATATTATAAAATCAAGTTTACATAAATAACTAAGTTATTTATTTCGCCATCAAAATTAAAATCTTTAAAATTTTGCAACTGTTTGTGCTGTCATAGAGATGGTGTTGTTGGTGTGTTGATGAAAGATGACATGTAGAGCTTTGTGAGTAAAAAGAAGTGAAGAAGAGTTATAGGGAGTGGTAGCTTCAGCTTCAGAGATGACAAGATGTGAGGGAAAGCCGTATGTCAAAGAGAGAGAGAGGAAGGAGAGGGTGTGATTGCCATTTGAGACGGTTGTGTTGTGTGAAATGAATGGGTGCAAATGGGATAAGAGGTCAAACATTTGCACTTTCAACCCCTTTTTTTAAGGATAAATATTTCAAACAAACAACAAAAATGAAATGTCGTTGTTTTGTGTTATTTGAGTGTGCCCATTTTATGTTAAAAACTAATATAAACAAAGTCTTTGAATAATTTCATATATTTAACATATGTTTGAAGATTGTTTAATTTAAATAAATAATTGTTTTAATAAAATTATTTTAAAAATAATTTAATCTAATAATACTTAATATCATTAAATTCGAAACTTTAAGTTGATTACTAGATAATAAATTACTATTAAGATTACATAATAATAATAATAATAATAATAATAATAATAATAAGTATCTTAATTAATAAAAATGATTAAAATTAATTTGACCCATTATCATTAATTTGATATTAAAAAATGAATTAGTTAAAAAATTGATGTGTAAGCTTGTGGTCAACGCAGAGAAAACGGTCGTTGCCCCACACGCCAAAATTGAACCGAATCCACAGGTCACACTATAAGGAAGGATAATAGGATTGTCATTCAGTTGTGAAGGTCGTGAAAATTTGACCAAACCACACACTCTCTCCACACAGCAAGAACAACACAGCTCACAAATCCTCTCTCTCTCTCTCTTCTGGGTTCCACATTCAAGTAAAGTTTTCTCTCTCTTTTATTTCGATCTCTTCTTGATGCTTCTGAATTATAATTTGATGGATCTTATTACTCTGGTGCTGATATTGATGCCTTATTGTTGGTCATAGTATTTTGTTCCCTTTGTGTTTCACTGAGTTTCAGATTTAGCTCAATCTGAATCTGAATATTTTTTACATGATATAATACACCATCAGTAGGGCCTGTTTAGCTAGTTCATGTTTCACATGTAGGAATTTTTTAGCGTTTTGAATTGTGGAAACAATTTGCTTTACAATTGAGAACAAGTACAGATATTTTTGTGTTCTACAATCTTTCTTCTGTTAGGAAATATCAAATAGGCAAATGCCATTATGGATAGATATATATGAAATTAAAATAATTGAAGCACTTGTTCTGACTTATGAGCAGCGCGAATAAAACCAATAACCACAACCACCCAACTTAAAAAGAATATTCAAAGACGATTTTATCTTTAAATTAGAATAGTTCTTGTGTGATTTTCGGTGCACTGTTATATTCCCCTTATCTTCATAATATTTTTTTGTAAAGGAAGTTTTAAATAAAAAAGTAAATATTTCTAATATGTTGAAAGTATAAAAAGTAGTTATAGATATTCTTTATTTAACTAAAAAAATTATTGAAAATATATTCAAATGTTTAAAATTATTCGCAGAATTATAATTATTGAAAAAGAATAGACTGCCACATCGAGAAAGCATATCAGGCCACATGAGTTTTAGGAGTATATTGATTGAGTTTCTTTTATGTTCAACTTGCTTTTTCTTCAGGATATTTTTTTTTAACTTCGGCAAAAAAAATTAAAAATCCAAAGAAAAATTATTTTTTTCAGAATAAATTTTCTCTTTCTTACTTGAGTTTGGGCCAGTAATTTTAACTTTAATCAACAAAGTCCCAACGCGTTTAGTAGATAATTGGTCTCGTAAAGGTTTGATTCTTGGTTGGAGACTATTGCTACCTTGTCATTTCAAATTCAAAAAATAATTTAAACAATATGTTCTTTATTATTATGCTTTGTTGTTTATTTCATTTGCATTATTTTAATTATTTATATTCATTTTATTTACAGGCCTATTTATTTTGTTTGCATTTTTTGGTACCCTTTTTCTAAATGGTGATTTCATGAATAATACGAGTATAAATGAGTTTTTTAGAAACAACTAAAATTTAATGACTTCGTAACAGAGTTGTTCACAATTCAATCCAATCTAATGCATATTGCAAAAATTGGACTTGGATTAAAAATTAAGAAACCAAAAATCACACACACAAAAAAATTGAATTAGATTCGATCTAATTTTAAAATCGATTCACTGCATTTCAAATTTAACTTTATATATATATATATATATATATATATAATATTTATTTATGAAATTAATTTTTACCCATTCTTATTCAATTGTATATTCATGAAATTATAATGCAAATGCTTTTTTCATGATTTTACTTTTAAAGTTACATGTAATTATTATGTGTTATAAAAGTTTTTATTACTTTGATATATTCTTTATGGTAATAAATTTTATATATATATATATATATATATTTGTTTTATATTCATTTAAAGTTATTCTTATGCATCATATCTTTCTATATTTATATAAAAAATAAATTTTAATTAAAAATAATGTAAAAGAAATAATAAAATAATTTATCTGTCATATTTTTTAATTAAAAAATTATTTAGATGAATTCAAACCAAATTGCAATATGTTTTTATAAATAAACCGAATAATTGGTTGCATAAAATCCTATCCAATCTAATTCAAATACAACTGTATTTTATAGCCACAGATTAATGATGTAAATATTTAAAATTAAAAATTAGAATGAAAATCATTGTTTATAATAAAAATTAAAAAATTTAAAGATATTTTTCTAAAATGAGGTGACTTCAAATTCTTCATTGTATAAAGTAATAATTAAAACAGAAACCTATCTTCTAGCTAAGATAAAACTAATTATTTATTGCTTGAAAGACGAGGATTTAAGATGGCCAAATTTACACAAACTATCAAGGGAAATCAAAGACAAAGAAACAAAAGTATTATGATTCTACAGTTGTTAATTAAGAATTAGAGTCTTAAATCTAATTTCAAACTCAAATAACTATTTTATCTTAATAAGAGGTTTTGACAATAGTTCCAAATTGAACCCTTTCATTCCCTAAAATCTCACCTCCAAAAACTATCTTATCTGAACAGGGATATAGCTAACCTTAGTAGTGCATTTATACAATTTCTATTTATTTGTACCCATCACTTGCTTTTGTGAAAGCTTTTATATTTTGCTGGAACTGTGATTCCATCAAACAGAGCCTGTTTGTTTGTTATCGCTTTACAACGGAGATGAGTGAGAATAAAAAAATTGCTCCGTTGTGATCGTACCGAAGCGGTGATACAAACAGGCTCACAATTGTTGGGACAAACAGAACAAGAATATTTATATTATTCAATACCCTCTGAATTATATATATTATATATTTACTCTCACGGGTCCATAAAAGGATGGTTGAAAACGCTTCAAGAAGCAACCTTGGTTTCCACCAAGATTTTGGCATGGAGGAGCACCGCATTGATGCCGTTCTTCCAAAACTTGATTCCAAGTCATACGACGATGATGGCCATGTTAAGCGAACAGGTGCACCTTACTTTACAAGCTGATATCATCGTATCAGCAGTGAAATTGTTACTAATGAAATTTGCATGATATATATGTATATGATATTATGAGTGTGGCAGGAAACATCTGGACAACAAGCTCGCACATAATAACTGCAGTAGTGGGTTCTGGGGTGCTATCCCTAGCATGGGCCATGGCCCAAATGGGTTGGATTGCTGGGCCTTTGACGATGGTGTTCTTCAGTTTGATAACTTTGTATACATCAGCTCTTCTTGCTGATTGCTATCGCTCTGGAGACCCCATTTCTGGGAAGAGAAACTACACTTTCATGGAAGCAGTTCAAAACATTCTCGGTAACATTAAATTACAGTACATTTTCACATCTTTTTTTGTTTCAAATTCGGGTATGAAATATGGATCACGTGATTTTCTACTTTGCTAATAATTGCACGTTTGAATTCGCGGTTCATAGCTACCTCAAACTGAGAAAAGAGAACCAAACTCTTCTTTGCTGTGTCAGCAGAAACGTGGGTTCAAAATCAAATAACATAGGTCACCTCATGTTCATCCAAACAAAACTTTCTTTTCACCAGAAAAATGTTTTATATATATACACACACACACTACTATGAGATGGTATTTATTTTAATTTTGAGAAGTACTATTTTTGTTCTTATTTATATATGTTCAGAGAGAAAACAAATTACACCAACATTTAATTATTTTATTAAAATTTATTAATGTCTTCTTTTAAACTCTTTAATTATTTAAACCATATAAAAATTGAATATTAACATAAAAACAATTTATTGAACAAACAAATAAGTGAAAATAATTATATAATATTATATCAAACTTTTTAAATTACTTAAATAACTTAACTGTGTTGACAATATCTCCATCATTGCACCGTCCATTCAAAGTTTCGAAGTCACACGTCTATTGTGGCTAAGTTTGTTGAATTGAAATACTTAGGTTTCAATGTGAACTAACACAATTATGTGTGTAGACAAAGAGTCATAATTATTTTGAAATGGAATGCATAAGTGATAAACAAATATTATAATATAATTTGCAGGTGGATACTATTCTACGTTTTGTGGGTTATTTCAGTACTCAAATCTTTATGGCACTGCCATAGGATACACAATTGGGGCCGCCATAAGCATGATGTGAGTCTTGCGCTTATATAATCTTTCAAATCATAGAACTTGGAAGTTGGTTTTATTTGTTGAATAAATGTTTAGAAAGTAACAAAATAAGAATTTTTTAATTTTCAAATCATCTTGAGATTTTAATTATCTATATATAGAAATCAGGGCTTAGTGGATTTTTGTTTCATTTTTTATTTAAATTCATAAGATTCTTCATTCTCATTAACCTGTTCAGACGTTTTAAGGAAATATAATAAAGTGAAATGAATTTGAGCTTATCTTAATGTAAACAGTGATTTGCAAATGAATTCAAAATCTTATAATAAATTTCAATTAATCATTTTAATTTTTTCCTAGCAATGGCAAAGCAACAATTTATTATGAACCAAAAGATGCTCATAAATTATTGTACCCGTGGGGACTGGACCCCACATATTATTATTATTATTATTATTATTATTATTATTATATTAATAATCATGAGCTTTTATTAAATGATACATCCCCAATTTTTTAAAACTTTAAGATTTAATACACAAATTAATAAAATGAATTGGTATTTTAAATTTTATCAAAAGTTATTATTTAACTTCTTATTATATCTTTTATTTATTATAATAATCATCTCATTTATTTAGTATCCTCTACCAAGCAAATATTAATTACTCATTAATTTTATTTTCCTTTGGATCAATTTCTAGTAAGTTGAGACTAAGTAGTAAATTCAATTCCCAAAGACCTTAGTAATTAGTCTCTTTACTCTTTTTTCTAAGAATTATACAAAGACTAATAAAAAATTGTTTGTATAAATATATATATATATATATATATATATATTAAATTTAATTGTTTTTAACGAAAACATATAAAGCTTTTAACTTATATAATTCAGTTTTCGTTTTGGTTTTGCTACAATTTAATAATATTAAACTCATGTTATTATTGAACAATGCTATTTATTTAATAATTTTCTTCAGTAATATAATTATTGCTTTTCAAAATAAAATTGCCTAATAATTAACTGTAATTTTAATTTTTTGGTAATTTTATTTCACAAAAAGTATGGAATATGGATATAAATTTTTGAATTTATTGAAATTACTGCATTCATTGTCACGTGACGATATTTAGCTGTAGTCAGAGAACTATCCAGTTTGATGGGTTTTGGTTGACAGGGCGATAAAGAGGTCAAATTGTTTCCATTCCTCAGGCGGGAAAAACCCGTGTCACGTGCCAAGCAACCCATATATCATCAGCTTTGGCATAATACAAATTTTATTTTCTCAAATTCCAGATTTTCATAAAACATGGTGGCTCTCAATACTTGCAGCAATCATGTCTTTCACTTACTCAATAATTGGCCTCGCTCTCGGAATTGCCAAAGTTGCAGGTTATATTCTTACTTTTGTATGATTAATAGAAGTTCTTTATTTCATTATAAAAATTAATAAATAATATTTTTATTAAAAATATAGAAATTAGTATGATCAAATATCAATGCATTAAATTTTATAATTTTTAATAAAAAAACATTACAATTTTTTATAATATGTAATGTAACGTTGTATAAGTTAATAAAATTCTAAAATAAACATCTTTGCTGACATTTCGTATGATTGGTCTTTGAACAGAAACGGGTTCTTTCAAAGGTACTCTCACAGGTGTAAGCATTGGAACTGTGACAGAAACCCAAAAAGTATGGGGGGTTTTCCAAGCTCTTGGTAACATAGCCTTCGCCTATTCATATTCTCAAATTCTCATTGAAATTCAGGTTTGCCTTTTTATTTTAATATTTTCTGTTTAAACAATAAAAATAAAAAAATAAATCAAAAGAGAACATTATCATAGAACCTAATGAACATATTATGTTGTTCTGACTACACAGGACACCATAAAATCTCCACCATCTGAATCAGAGACGATGAAGAAGGCTGCAAAGGTAAGCATTGGAGTGACCACAACGTTTTATATGCTTTGTGGCTTCATGGGCTATGCTGCTTTTGGAGACGCAGCACCTGGGAACCTGCTTACTGGATTTGGTTTTTATAACCCATATTGGCTTATAGACATTGCTAATGCTGCTATCGTAATTCACCTTGTGGGAGCATACCAAGTCTATGCCCAGCCCCTCTTTGCCTACGTTGAACAAAAGGCCGCAAAAAGATGGCCCATAGTTGAGATGGAACACAAAATTCAGATTCCTGGTTTTGGTTCTTACAATCTAAACCCATTTAGATTGGTTTGGAGAACATTGTTCGTTATCAAAACCACTGTTATAGCAATGTTGATTCCATTCTTCAATGACGTATTGGGATTACTTGGAGCACTGGGGTTTTGGCCTTTAACTGTTTTTTTCCCGGTGCAGATGAGTATCTCACAGAAGAGGATCCCAAAGTGGAGTACGACGTGGATTTGTATGCAAATTCTTAGTGTTGTCTGCTTCATAGTATCACTTGTGTCTGCTGTAGGCTCAGTCGCTAGTATCGTGATTGACCTACAAAAATACAAACCGTTCAGCGTAGATTATTAAACCCTATCCACTGCCTCTGCGAGTTTTGAAAAAACTGCTGCGTGCAGTGATGGTAGGAATGGAATGGTAGTAGTTTCTTGTATCGTTTAGTTTATTTAGCATATAGGTACTGAATGCTATCTCAATATCATCTCGTCAGCTAAATGCATCGAGTTTAATAAACATTAGTTATTATCCTCAATCGGCACGAATATGTTTTTGGGCCCTGATGGTATTTTATCCATATCCCTTTTCCTTTCATTTCCTTAAAAAATCAATTAAAACAAAAGTTGAGCCATATTCGAAACTTTAAATACAGTTATGAACTTCAAACTTTATCCCAGTAACATGAAAGTTTGTCTAACATGGTCGAATAAAAACCACAGAAGGCAAAACAATTTTAGATTTAATGCGCGTTTGAAATTGTGCGGAGGAGGTCCATGGCACGTTCCCACATTTTGATGTCAATCACAATATGGTATAATATATATTCAGGAACCTATACTAAATCACAAGTAATAAAATTGGAAAAAAAAAACAGAAAACAAACCGCTCATGAGCACTCACTAGACAGAAATAATGAATTAAATTGACAGATGCCCACAAAAAGATATTTTTACAAAAAAAACATGTTACATTCATTAAGCATGGGCATAAACCCAACACCACCCCACCGATTACACCAAAGATTACTCCCCAGTGTGACCTTTGGGCATCCTGACGCCACACATGAAATCAATTTTCTGACCATCGATGCAATATAACTTGAATCGAAACAAATATGCAGTGGAGGCTGCTGAAACACGGTTGTGGTTCCCTCTCAACAGAAAGGGCAGAGCAAAACTACCTTGAAGTAGTTAAGTTCGTCTGAAATTAGAAAAGCTCCTCTGAATTGAACTTATTCCATGCTTCCTGTTATAAATTATCCAACTTTTAGGCAAAACTAAAGGCATTACAACCCTCTGGACATAACAATATGATATTCACTAGCTACAAACTCACGTGAAGGTCAAAATCAACTTCTAAATTTGGTTTTATTTAAAAGATTCATGCGCAAACAAGCATTGAAACAGCAAAAAATGTATTGCTAACTCATGATTAATATACCCTACTTGGGCCTTGTATATTAGCACAGATAATCGGCATTTAAACATTACTTCGAAGTTCTTGATGTAGAAGAAAATCCTATAGTGTGCAACACACTTTCTTTTATTGGGCGAATTTTTTGAGTATTCACCCAATAATAAGGGGTATAGGAAAGAATGCGTTAAAAATGTGCAACTATTATTTCTCTTTCCAAATTTTTCATTCAATTTTTGAATTGTCAAGATGTCATATACAACTATTACGGAAAATATAATACTTCGTTGAGACTGAAGAAAAAAAGCTGACAGAGGTAACTTTAGTTCAATCAAATCAAATTGAGAATTTTATTTCTCTATTTTATGTACACACCATTTCAAAACAGAAAAGACAGAAAATACCCCAGGAGATCATGATACAAAATTAAAAATCATTGCTTCAGAATAAAGACATCATTTTAGATGACAAGATATAATGCCCATCTTTATATGCACATCATTTGGCTATAGAATGTTACATGGAAACCCGTATTTCAATGCCACTTCAAAATAACAGTAGCCTAATCTTTATTTGCCACTGGTTATCACTTCTTTAATGGAGTATTGATTAGAAAGCAACTATAAATAATATAAAAAAAGCCTGAAATACCTTGAGGAGATCAAACACCTTCTCAGCAACATATTTCTGTTGAAGAGTTGCACCCTTTTGCTGTACTTTATCAGGATGAATGCACAATGTAGCTTTCCTATAAGCCTTTTTAACAGCAGCAGCTGTAATCAAATCAGTCAAAGAAACTGGCTGCCAACCACATTCAGGCCACAGCACCTGCTCATTATTCATGAAGGAAATAAGTTAACATAACAGACAAATTATAGAAGAAAACAATACCACTAAGAGTATACAAATTAAGGGACTGTTAGGCTACTTAAAGATTCACGAGCAGGAACTTTTCAGAGTGTATAAATTATGGAAACAAGTTGCTTTTGATCTTGTTTCATCTGGATCGAGAGTAATATATATTGATTACATCGTTAGAATGTTCTGAAAATTCAATAATTTTTGCTGAAGTTGTGTCTAATATAACTATATATCTGATTGGAAAATAACAACGCTGATAATCAATGGAGGAAATTAAAATACTGGATGATCCTGTAATGAGCAGTACGTACAAACCAATAAAATCATTTTTGAAATTTAGAGTTACTGCATGTTTGATTTAACTTATTTTGGAGAAATAATCGCTAGTTTTTGCCAGCTTTTTGAGGAAGCTTTTTTTAAAGTAATTATATTCTGAAAATAATCAGTTACTAAATACCCATTTAGCACACCTATGCACCTAGGAGGTATACTGATGATCAGATGAAACCCGGCAAGCCATACTTTAAATTCCAAGTCCAAGCATTAATAAAAATAAATAAATAAAAGAACAAGGGTTAGCAAAATCCAACAAACTTATAGGCATTATATGCATCTGGAATAGAGAATATTCTGAGATTATCTGAAATGCATATACATATTGCAAGGTGGATAGTAAAGCACGCAAGTTGCCCTCTTTCCCTGCAGCCCAGCGCTTAATTTCAAAATCCAGTGTTTCAGCAAGCCTCTGAAATCAATATAAAGATAAAATCAAATAATAAAAATACAAACGTGTCACATTAAAACTCTACAAATTAACAGAGGACTGAGAAGTAAAATCTAACATAAAAAGAACCCGTTCATTATGTAATAAAATATGAAGGTAAGCAGAAGACAGGGTAACAGGGCCCAGGTCCCAGTTTTGACCCATCTCAATTGCCACAACTGGTAAAACAGGTTTTGAAGGGAACATAGCAGAGGTACATGTAAATAGTAATTTAAAGAAAAATTTGCCTACAAAGCTCTGGGTTAGCATTAATTTAACCTAGAAACAGACAAACAAGATAACACAATTTGATAGAAAATCAGAAAGTTGGATAATAAATTAATCCTTATCTTGTGGGTCACTGAGAAAGCAATAAGTGTATATGCAGTAAGTGCAATGCAAATGTATGACAGAAACCCCCCAGCCACAAACAAAAAGGATAACAATAAAAGAAACTACTTACGTGTCTCTCAGCTTGTTCTCTTTGAGTTTGTAGGTCCCGTTGATTCTTCTCAGCCAATGCCTTTGCCTAGTTTAAGGTGGCAATGATTGTTAGCAACAAAGACAAACAATTTAAAAAGAACTTTTGAGAACGTACACACTTCTGCATCTATTCAAGGTCATCTTGATTTGAACAGAGTGCATTGTTTACCAAGTCTTTCTACAAAAAACAGTAATGCATACCGCACGCTCCTGAGCCCTCTGGTGGCGGTCCAGCCTGGCTCTTCGTCTTTCTTCACTTTCCCCTTCAACTTCCTGAAACTCTCCGGATGATGGAGCAGCTTCAAAGAGAAGGGACCAAAAAAACCACATAAGCATTGAGACCCAAAATTTTAAAAACTTTTGCATCAACAAAAAATATATTGTACGTGCAAATCTACCTCCAAAAATCGAGGAAAGATCGTCCACTATATTAGTGGTTGATGATGCTTTCTTCATGCTTGAAGATACACTTGTAGATTTCCGGGTCACATCTGACTGAAATTGGGCATCAAATACAGAGTCCTGAAAGCAAATAGGTCCCGTAAATTAATCACAAAATTGAACTAGAATGATGCTAATGTTAACGTGCATGTCAATCCATTTTTTGTTTTTCATTTAAAACATGAAAAAATTTCTAAAAACTTGTACATTTTTTAATAATAAAAATTCAATATATACAATGTTCTATAAAACTTCTATGATGCGAAATGACAGAACATCAAAGCCAAGAGCTAACCTCTATATATTAGAATAAATAATGTTAACAAAAATAAGTACTAACCGAAGAGCTAGGTCGAGGAGGCCTTGGAGCACTGCTTGCTCGTGCACCCATGCTGAAGAACGATTCGAGATCATTCTCATTCTGTTGTTGGTTCATCCTTGCAGCAGCTGCAGCTCTTTCTCGGGCCTCTGCTGCAGCTCTTTCTCGAGCCTCCGCAGCAGCCCTTTCTACAGCAGCACGTTCTGCTTTGACTCTCGCTTCAGCTTCAGCTTCAGCTCTTGCAGCTGCAGCTCTTCCCCGTGCTTCCCTCTCTTTTGCCTCTGCAGCGGCCTTTTCGGCCCTTTCCTTTGCTTCAGCAGCAGCCCTTTCACGGGCTTCAGCCTGTGCCCTCTGAACTGCGGCCCTTTCTGCACGCTCTCTAGCTTCTGCATTAGCTTTCTCAACAGCAGCCCTCTCAGCTCTTTGGCGAGCTTCAGCAGCTGCTCTTTCCCGTGCTTCTCTAGTAGCTCTTTCTACAGCCTGTCTTGCCCTTTCTCTTTCCCTCTCAAGTCTCTGTTGCTCTCTTTCTTTCTCCTCCTTTTCCTTCTCACGTCTTCTTTGCTCCTTTTCCTCTCTCTCCTTTTGCTGCCGTTCATGGTCCAACCTTTCCTGTTTTCCTCTATCCTCTGATACAGTTCTCTCATCTTTTTCAAATTGCATGGGATCTTTGCTCTTACCAGTTTTTGTATTCTCTCTCTCCCTAACTTCCTTAGCATGCCTAAATTTAGCTTCAGCTCTATCCATAGCCTCTTTCATAGCTGCAGCAGCTGAGTTCATCTCTAATTCTTCATCAGAAAGAACATTTCCACGTTCATCATCATTACCACGACTCCTGCCCATGGCAAAATCTTCAAGTTCATCAAACTGAGATGAAGAAAACTTTGCCGCAGCAGGGGCAGAATTAGGACCCTGAGAAAATTGAGTGGAACTTGAAAAAGAATATTCATTAGCCTTCATTCTGGCATTGGCAGAAGCTGGCAAAACTGTTCCTGACTTGGGGATATGTACTGGTCGAGGAGGAGGAGGTCTCGAAGGTGGTGGAGCAGCAGTTGGTTGTGTGAAAAGAGGAATCTCTGATACTGTCAACCATATATCATCATTTGATTCAAATTTTTCTTCATATTTTGGAGACATATCTGCCTGTGAATTGGCCTGTTTAAAACCATCATTGTCATATAAGGGGGAAGTAGACCTTTGGCCAACTGGTTTGTAAGAGTCAGATGAATATGTAGGCATGTCAAATGCAGCCTGATGAAATCCCTGATCACGGTCAACAGGAATCTTGCTTTGTGTCCGTCTCTCAGGACTCCTCACAGACGCTTTGTCATTTGATTCTTTATCTCTGCTCCAGCTTGAACTTGCGTTTGACCTTGGCGTTGGGGAGTTACTACGCTTGCTGCTATTTCTCTCTGCTGAGAATGCAGGTACAGAATTTCCAAGTCCACCAAAGGGATCAATATCATCATAAACTCCACCATTAGAATTTGATGAACTTTCATTTTTTGGGCTTCTAGAGCTAGTGAATTTACTAATTTCTTCCAATGGGTCTGTCAAGTAGCCTGAGGAAGAATCCACTGGGGCTGAGGTTGATTCAAATACTTTGAAAGGGTCTTCTGTAGCACTGGAAGCTGATTTAGATGCACTAACAGTAGGTTCTGATGACAAATCAATATCAGGAGTCGTCCTGCAAACAAAACAAAATGTAAAAACAATTACAATACATCAAGAATATATGAAAATAAGGATTGGATTGTCACTTATATTATTCCCATTCCCTTCAGTTTCAATTCACCAATGAGATGCTTAGCAACAACACAGGCATATGACCTATCAATCCCTAGTTCCAAATAGACAAAACATTCTCATTAGCACATTTTTAGTGGCATATCCAGTTGGACCTATGTACCAGTTGATTTGGAAGCTAATCCTCTACTGTCTCAAGCAGCATATGTCCTGCAATTCCACTCAGTTGCTTGAAGGGGATACTAGAGAGGTTGTATATCTGATTTGAGTCCAGTTTTCATAATGTCAATCTTGAGAACAAGGTTGAATTTCATGGGGGTGGTATTGTTAGGACAGAAGAGAAGGGGAAGTTAACCAGGACAGTTAGGGTATTAGTTAGCTAGCTAGTTAGTTACTTAGTTAGAGGGATAAGTGAGATAAACAAATAGAGGGATGTAGGGGAAAAGGGAAAAATCCTATTTTGTATCAATTGAGAGAGCGAGTATTAGCTCTGATACAAAAGGAGAAAGCTTAGTGAAAAGGAAACCCTTGGAGGAGGATTTCTCTTACTTTCTTTCAATTTCATTCAATCAATAAGATGAGTCTTTGGATCAAAAACAGAACTAAATCTTCCCAGAGTATAAGGAAGGCATCCTCAAACTTTTTAAGTAACTTAGGAACAATATTTTATTGGAACCACTTATGCTCTTGTGTATTAAAAAGCTCTCGTGCAACTCAAGCCCATAATAACCCAATTCAAAAATCTCACACACAAAAAAAAAAAAAAAAAAAAAAAACCTCAGAAGAAAATCAGTTCATTGTTGCATTTTCTACCCCTCCCAAACACATCTGAGTTTCATGCAGGTGTCTATTTTAAGTCTTGACAAATAAAATAAGCAAGAATAACTAGGCCTTACCTTTCAAATGATGCCATTCCCACTTAAATATCAACCAAATAGATTACCGCAAAAAATTGACACCATACAAACAATAACATATTTCAAAATGCACAAGAAAATCAATGTGCATGAAAATCTATTTAAAAAGAATTAATGCACGACCTACAACCATAAGCTCCTAGAAACAATACGCCTGAATCTTGGCAGTCAAACAGACAGTTTGTGCAAAACATACAAGAGGAGAGAAAACATAATCAGCAGAAGGCATCCCTTAGCCTACCAAATCAACCCTGCAATCTAGGCATATTCCAGAATAGCTACCTCAAGTTCCATTGTTCCAAACAACAAAGATCAAATTTAGACAGTAAAAAATAAATCAGAAAGAAATCTACTGATGACATTAATAGGCTAGTGACTTGTGATTCCAAGTTTATTTGCAACAAATCAACAATAACCAGTAAGCAAATTATTTCCTCACATATTCCATATATCATGGGCAGTGAACTTTTATATGCAAAAGTATCAACATAATTTTAGAAGATTGCTATATAAAGGCCTATGAAAAGACATAGTAGATGATATTCCATAGATACACAGATAATCCAAAATTCCAGAACCAAAAAGATTGCTGCCAATGATATATCTTCACCACATAAGTTTAAACACAAATATCAGACAATTATTACAATTCTAAATTGACTCGATTCACTAATAGAGCTAATCACCAATAAGCTTAATTGCACTTTTGGTCCATATACTTTAACTTGTATGCAATTTTGCTTCCCTAGTTTTAATTGCTCATATTTAATCCCTCCAGTGTTTTAAATGTTCAAATTAAGTCTTCCATCCAAAATTTTATCCGATAATTAATAAAAATATAATAGAGGTATAACATTTTATTGATTTATACAAATAAGTAAAAAAATTACAAAATAAAATATAATAAAAACATTTATCTTAAGGTGGAGGACTTAATTTAAACATTTGAAAAAATTGATGGACTAAATGTGAGCAATTAGAGCTTAGATTACTAAAATTGCACATAAGTTAAAGTATAAGGACCAAAAGTGCAATTAAGCCTCACATAGTGACAAGAGCTTATTAAACCCTTCAATGGAACATTCTGTTATAACTTTGTGCAAGTTACATTCAAACAAAGAGCACGGTACTCAACTTTTAGTAGCTTTTTTGTTTTCTTTTTCTCAGAAGTCCAATAATTTCGTAGTTATAAAATTTTAGCATTTCTACTCAATTTATGTTATAGTAACAATCCAACGCTCTTTCAACACACGAATAAGGTTTCAAACAGATCAATAAACTACAGTTCTCAGCACACAACATTCACTAAGCTATATCATATGCATGTAAGAGACTAAGCTACAGACACTAAAACGCATTTGAACATGCACGCACGTAAGAACCTAACCATACCTGTCAGCTGAAGGCTTACTGCTCCCGAATCCAGGGATCAAATCGTCAAAATCAGCGACACCTTTCTCCTCCTCCGATTTCTTCGACTTACCGAACCCGCCGAGAAGATCGTCGAACGCGGCGTTGCTCCCTCCCGCAGCGAAAACGCTGTCGTAAGAGACCTTTGAGGAGGAGCTCTTGAGACCGGGAACGCCGTCAAAGATATCGTCGTCGTCGTAGACCGGTTTGTCGAAGACCGGTTTATCGTTCACCGGCAAGTTAACAGACTTGGAAGCGAAATCCGAGGAGGCACGAAACATAGAGTCCAAATTGAAGGATGAGTCCGATTTGGCGTGCGCACCGAACAGATCGTCGAAGGAAGCGGCGTTAACAGAATCGTTGAAGGAGCGAGTGGATCGGGAACCTAAATCGAAGTTGAGAGAAGACGATTGGGGTTTGGATGCAGCCATTGGGGCTGCTTTGCCTTGGGGTTTGAACCCGAAATCGGTAGTTAAGAGGCCGTCGAAATCGTTCATGGTGAGGAATGGCAGAGAAAGAGTCCAGAGAGAGAGAGAGAGATCCGGTGTGCGGTGGTATCCTCCGTGTACGGTGGAGATGGCGGTGAGGGAAGACCGTCAGAGGATACAAGGAACGGTAGAATCTGACCTGTGCTTCACTTTAATTTTCTTCTCTTTTTTCTTGCTTTTCCTTTTCCCTTTTTTTTTTCGGTTCCTTGTTCTTCTACTTGGTGGTTAGTACTCACTGGTTAGGCCTTATTACCTTTTCTTTCACTTGTTCCGTCTCGCTCTGTGTCAACTTGCTTTGCCTTACGGAAGAAATAGCAAGTTTATCATGTATGAATTTTATTTTTTTTGTATTTTTAGATTTATATTTTGTGAATATTTTTTTAGTTTTTAGGATTGATTTTAAGAATTTTAAAATATTATTTTTAAACCAAACTAACAAGTCTAGGATAACCCATACCTTCATGATCCCTTTTTACAAAATAAATAAGAATGGAGACTAGTGTCATTAATTTCTCAGCTAGCCGCAATGTTATGACCTATTCTTGCAAGGTGATAAGCACAACTCTTTTCCCCTAATATACTTAATTCTTATACCTTCCATCACTTTTAGATTTACTTAACGGCTATAATTAATGTAAAGGAAAATGTAAGAATAGAATATGTTAAGATAAGTTAAATTTTTAATAAATAAGTCTGATTTATTTAATAAATTTAAAATTAAAATCTAACTTATTATTTGTAATAAACTATTTATTAAGTTTGATTTTTATAAAAGTTTAATTTATCTTATTAATTTTTTTAATGACTTTCCTTTAAGATTTTTAATAGGCTATTAAATTATGTAAATATATATATCTCTTTAAAAACTATTATATATTTATGTATTTTTTAAAATTATATATTTAGTTAAATAAGTAAATCATTAAATATATAATAAATATAAATACAGGTGAGTGTATGCATATAAGATAGATTAAATAAAAATAACGTAAAAGATTTTTACTTATAAATAGTTCACTTTTTTTTAATAAATATGTTAGAAGGAAGAGAGAAAATGATTCAACTATTAAACATCATTTAAAAATGAAAGAGAGAATTTCAAAATTTCAAAGATTAGGTCAATTTTTAAATCTATGATATTAACAGATCTATAAACATATATTAAGTTAACAACCTAAAATTTTTACGTGTTCCAATGTTAACACTAATTTTTCATACGTGTTAAAAGCTCATAAGTAAATTTAAGTTGAACAATTAAATTACATCAAATTAAAAAAATTGTTATTTCTCTAATTAATGTAGGATACAAGTTATAATGAATAACATTTACTTTAGTTAAAAGTGTGTTTTTTTAAATATAATACACCTTCACATCACAAAAGACAATCCTAACCATCAACGTTGAATTTAATTTCATCGTGCATGAGTGATTTTCAAATTTTCATGTCATCTGTAATATCTTGAATATGAAAATATACCTTTTTATTTGATACAATGTATTAAGATTTAAAATATTATTTGAAAACAAGAAAATTAATAAAATTTAATATTCAATACAAAATAAACCAAGTGTTTTAATGAAAATAAAAACGTAATTATTTAAAATAATAATAATAAATTAAAATATATTTATAGTATACAATTTTTATTTATTCAATTATAAATCACCACATCAACAAAAAAATTTATTTGTATGATAATAAATTTAAAAATCATATCGATTATATATTCCAATTAATTGATATTATAATTAAAAAAAGCAATAATGTATAAAAAAAATAAAGTCTAAAATTATATCAATGATTTTGCCTCAAAGGATTTCCCCAAAATTATTATTTTTTTACTATTTTAGGAGATTCAGTTTAAAATATCATTCACACTTTCATTCTCATTATGTATGTTTATTTTGACGCATAAAAAATAATGATTTCTATCCCACGGAAACAAATCCCCCCTCTAAAAAAAAATAACGCAAATGTTTATCTAAAGATTTATTCTTTAATAAACTAATATTTTAATAAATTTTTTAGGTATATAACAATTAAAAATTACAAAATTTATGTTGAACACAAATATAAATATTGAATAAATAAATAAATGTTTATTTATAATTTATTTATCAGTTCATTAAATGTTATATATTCAAATATTTTCTAACCTACGTAACATAACATATTATAGAAATTAATAAATTTTTATTGAAATTATAATATTTAATAGTATAAATGTACATGAAATTATATAAATTTATAATAAACTTTTATCATGTGTAATGCTGTACAAATGAAAATATATATTCAAATAATTTTATTATTATTATTATTAGGGATTCTTAAATTGTAAGTAATAGCTCACCAAGAAACCCACAAGTATGACATTAGTGAGAGTTTCTTAATTACGTGAAAATATAGACATTAATTGTGGTTTGAAAACTACAAGTAATTAGCGTGGCAAAATAATTGCATTATCAAGTTTATAATTCACGGATAAGTACAATTATTACATATAATTCGAAAATTGCAAGTAATTTAGCCTATGTTTCTAAATTGTGGGTAAATCTTGCAATGTGTCCCTTGTTAAAGCCAAGTAGTTTTTACTCAAAAATAATGTAAAGCAACGAATACATTGTAATATCCAATCTTATTATTGACCTTTTTTGTATATCAGATCATGATGATATTTAGTTCTTGTCAATTTTCAGTGAGGATGGTTACATGGAGAGGATTTGACGAGCAGTGATATGGGTCTTGATGTGGCAGTCCATGGTGCTTTGTTTGGGAGGAGATGGCTTTTGTTTGCTATTTCTTTATTGGTTTTCATATGATAAGTTAAAGGTCACAATTGTTGGGTAAAAAAAGAAGGAAGAGGATGAATAAGAGAAAGGGGAAAAAAAAAGATAAAATGAATAGTATTTAAAAAATAAAGGAAAAAAATAAAATTTAATATTTTTAACACAAAAGGCCGTATTTAAAATAGTTTAAAAAATTAAAAATATAACAAAATTTTTAAATGATTAATATATTATGGGTGAGTCCTCTTGTATCATAGCATTTAAAATATTTTTTTGATAATAAAAATAAAAATGTTAAAATTAGCATTTATGTATTTTAAAAAAAATAATACATTTTATAACTTTAATATAAAAAACGTTTTTTAATAAAAAAAAATTGTTATTCTTATACACTAATTTTTGTAAAAATTAGTTTTAAAATGCTTAAACTTAATTTTAGAATTTGAGGTTAGTAAACCTCTAAAAAAAATAGTTTTGTTAATTTCAATCCTTGTGATTGAGTTAAAATACGTAAATATAATAAAATTTTATCAAAAATATTTATTATATTAAATATATAAAATTATAATAATTTTTTGATAAAATTTATTATTATTAAATATTTAAATTTAATTCTAAAAATTGAAATTAACATGTATAAAAAATATATAATTTAATAAATATAAATATAAATTTCATTCATGAGAGAATGTCGTTAGTAATTTTTTTGTCAGCATTCTCTTTAATATATTTTTATTATTAAATTATGTTTACCAACTTTTTTTTTGTTATTATATGTTTACCACTTTTAATCATATTATGCCTTGTTTGAAATATAAAGAATGTTTTTGCTAAAAGACAATAGTTAAGGAATTAAACGTAAAAAGAATGTTTATTAAAAATTATATAAGATCGCATTAAAAATTACAAAAGAGGTGTATTTATTATATTTTCACAAAAAAATTATTTTTATTTCTTAAAAGTTACATTTAAACTACTTGTTAGCATTTGCCAATATAAAGTTTTTTAAGAAAATTATGAAAAATAACACACATCCCAATGTTTTCTAGGTAGCACATTTATTCTTTTCCCTTCTATGTTGGCAAGAAATTATGAGAGAGAAGAGAACAACTTTTTTTCTTTCTCTTTTTATCATTATTTTATGTAAAATATGAATCTTAATTCTTCAGAGTGGATTTAAGTAAATATTTATGTTAAAATGTTATTAAAAATATTTATTATACTTTTACATCTCAAATATGATAAAAACTTTAAACACTTAAAGAATGTGCTAACAATGTTTCTTTTATTTACAAAACACGAAAAGTACGTAAAGACAAGGGAAAGCCCATTTATTATTTTAAATTATTTTTAAAACGTGGTGCCTAAGTGAATTTTTTACACAAATATTATTAAAACAATAAAAAATTACAAAAATAAACCTAAGAAGAAATTATTTATCAGACTAAACCTATTTTCTGTAGCAAAAAATAGAAGTGCAGGGAACCGAATTCTGACTTAGTTTTTTTTAAAAATTTATTTTATGTTTTTATATAATAAAATAAACATTATTAAATAAAAAATATATATATTTATATTTTGATAAAATAAATATTTATAATATGTTATTCTAATAAATATTTATAAATAATTTGTTAATTATATATAATAAAATAATTTTTATTATTTTAATTATGTTTATATTTTTATATTATTTAAAAATGAATAAAAATATAATAATATTAATTTTACAAATATATTTATGATAATAAATAATATTTTTAGAAAAATAATAAATATATTTTTAAAAAATAATTAAAATAATTAAGTAATCAGTAAATTATTTTAGATAATTTTTAAAAATTAATTAAAATATTTAAATAATAAGTATATTATTTTAGATAGTAATGTTAATGCTTAAATTATTTATACAAAAACAATAATAATAATATTTGTAAAAATTAAATAAATATATTAAATATTATTCTATTTATTTATTTATTTAAATATGTAATTTTGAGTTAATATTTTTAAATATCAATGTAATAAAATGATATTTTGAATAAAAATTTTATTTTAATTAAATTAGTTTTTTTTAAAAATCACATTATTTAATATTATAATTTTTAATACCATAAACCCTAAAACTTTATTATTATAATTTTTAATAAAATTTATTTTAAAATAAAAAATTTATTTTTAAAATGTAAATAAAATATTAAATTATAAGTTAATTATTTAAACTTAAGACAAATATTTTAAAATGAACGTTTTCATATTATTAAGGTAACATTGATGAATACAAAATGCATTAATAAAAATGATAATAAATTCATAACAACATTAATAACTAACTATCTCCGTAATGATGACCAGTTCCACAACGAGGGCGATGTCTGTGACATGGTGGGTTTTGTCGTTGTGGTTGTTGCTTTGGAATTTCAAGATGAACTTGTGGAGGATTTGGATCATCAAGAAGGTCTAGTTGTTGAAATACATTTGATGAATTACCAGATTCATTAGCAAAATCCGGTTGATAAAGAGACTACATGTAAGTTTTTGCCGAAGATGGAGTTGTAAAATCAACTCCAAATAAGTTTGTAAAAAAATCCTCCGATGTTGTTGCAAACAAATGTGTTGTGTTAATTATGTTTACTTGTGACGTAATGTTCGAAGGAATTAATGTAGTCTCATGGTACGATGATGTGAAAGTCATACCGATTTCAAATGTGTTGGTAGTCCTTAGTTGTTGGTCGCTCCTCCTTAGATCTTGTAGTAGTGGTGGCACAGATAGAAAATATATGGAATTGACAATATACCATTCTATGTATTCTTGTGTGTGACATAATGGGCCTTGCATTAGACGACCTATTATTGTCAGCTCATGTCTGTTGTTCCATATCTCGATTCATTGAGCACATCTTGTAACCAAATTTTCATCTTCTCCAACATATGATATGAATTCTGACCTTCAGTCCTATACACAACTTTTAAGTAGTCCATTCATGGACCTCAACGAAATACCCTCCGAATCATTTCAGCAAACCTTACTCTCTCAGCCTCTTGAAGAAACCCCCATTGAAGAACATGCTGTTGTGGGTCTTCCAATCGAAGAAGTTTTTGATCCTTTTGGCGAAGACGAAGATGAAATCATATCTCAACAATATGATGATGAAGAAGACTCCCTCCCACTTCCAAATATTCCACCATTACAGTCATTACCATTATACAACCCACCTCCACATTTTCTAGACTTTCCCACTCAAATACAAGAACATGACTCTGAGTTTGGCCATGTCCTTGATCGTGAAATGGTAGTGTATCCGTCTGGAAAACTATTTGTTGGTTAGCGCTTCCTAACAAAAGAACAAGTGCAAGATGCTATAAATAGATTTCACATTGTCAATCATTGCACTTATAAGGTGAAGATGTCAAGCACAACTAGACTTGTCGTGGAATGCGTTCATAACGTCTGTGCCTGGAGATGTCGCACTATATTGCGCACCAAAGAGCAACACTGAGAAATAATAAAGCTTGAATGGTGTCACACATGTGCTTCCCTACTCATTTCACAGGATCATAACAAGTTGGGATCATGAATGATTTCTCAAACCATTCGTAAAATTATTGAGATTGATCCATCCACACCTATCGCAACTATCTTGGCGCACATAAAGTCCACAATGAGTTACACAATCAGCCATAGAAAGGGATGGTTGGAGAAACAACATGCTATTGAAAATATCTTCAGAAATTGGGAGGAGTCATACCATGAGTTACCTAGACAGTTGCTTGCAATGCAACTGTATGTTCTGGACTTCATCTAGAAATTGAGTACATAACATAATTCCCATTACTTTTGCTGTGGTTGAAGGTGAAACTACCAATGCATGCTTCTTTTTTAAAAAAAACTTAAGGAGGTACGTAACCTCGCAAGAGGGGTTGTGCCTCATTTCAGATCGTCACGAGACCATAAGAAGTGCATACTCCAAAAATGGAAATGGTTGGACAGAAAACAATTCTGTCCATGTCTACTGCATTAGACACATTGCACAAAACTTTATGCGACGATTAAAAAATGATGCACTGTAGAAAGATGTCGTTAATATGGGTAATTTTAATTTTTTACGTACTCTATATTATCATTAATATTTTATACAATTGCTTAGCTAGTTATATTAATTTAATTTGTAATCTTGTTTCTAGCATATGGGATACTGAACCGAGATTCTTTTATTATTACAACATAGTAAAAGATAATAATCCTGAAGCTGCACAATGGTTGGACAACATTCCAAAGAAAAAATGGACACTGGCATGGGACAACGGACGACACTGGGGACACATGACAACAAACCTAGCAGAGTCAATCAATTTGGTCTTTAAAAAAACTAGAACCCTACCAATTTGCTCAATGATCATGGCAACATACACCTGTTGCAATAAGTTCTTCATTAATAAAAACAGGGAAGTAGATGCAATGATTAATGCTGGAAATATGTACTCGGAGGTTGCAACTAAAGTAATTCAAGATGCACAGTCAAAGGCGAATACTCATAGAGTCATCTTCTTTGACAAAATAAGCACTAGATTTGTAGTCGAAGAAACGCAACATCCGACAAAAATTCGACTCGTAGGAAGATTTACAGTACGGTTAGATGAAATCTGATGTGATTGTGGCAAGTTTCAAAAAGTTCACATCCCATGCTCACATCTACTTGTTTCATGCTTACACACACATCATAACTTTGATATCTACATATCTCCCGTGTATACCTTACAACAAGTTTCTAAGGTATACGAATGTCAGTTTGGAGAACTCAGACACGAAGACTATTGGCCAACTTACACGGGCCCAACTTTGTATCCAAATCCAGAGCTGAAAAGAACTTCAAAGGGTCAACCGAAGTCCAGTAGGATAAGAATAGAAATGGACATTAAAGAACAACAAAGTCGGACAAAAAATTGTTCTTATTGTCATACCCTTGGTCATACAAAGAAAACATGTCCAAATATCGTTTAAGCTTCTAGTTCCTGCCATGATTTATGTTATTGTTATTATTTTGAAATTTTCTTAATGTTATTTTTAATTTTATGAATGTTATTGCAACTTTTCAATTTTTAGTATTTGTAATTTAAATTAAATATATAATTATATATATAAGATACTACATAATATTATTTAATTATGTTTATTAATATTAATATTATATTTTTTAAAATAAATAATTATGTTTAAATTTTAATAAACCTTAATATCTCTAAATAAATAAATAAATTATTATTTAATACTTTTACTTATTTTATAAATATATAAAATTAAATAAATTTTTATTATAATTTTTATTTTATACAAATTTAAAATTCAATAAATTATTATTGTAATTTTTATTTTTTTAAATAATATAATATTAAATAACTAAAAATATAATTTCAGAATATAATATTAATATCATTTTCAAAAAATCAAAATTATATTAAATAATATAATAAGAAAAACAAAAATATTATTTATTATTTTAAATATGTCAAATATATTTTAATAAATATTTAAAATTAATAATATTATTATTTTATTTATTTTTAAATAATATAAAATATAAACATAATTCAAATAATAAAAATTATTTTAGTATATATAATTAACAAATTATTTATAAATATTTATTAGAATAACATATTATAAATATTTATTTTATCAAAATATAAATATATAAATATATTTTAATTAATAATATTTATTTTATTATATAAAATCATAAAATAAATTTTAAAAACGAAAAAAAAAACTAAGTGGGAACCGAATTCTGCACTTCTATTTTTTGCTACAGGAAATGGGTTTAGTCTAGTAAATAATTTCTTCCTAAATTTATTTCTGTAATTTTTTATTTTTTTAATAATATTTGTGTAAAAAATTCGTGCCTAAGTACTTGATCTTAATTTAAACAATTTATGACCGTTTATATTTGCTTTAATTTTATTTTTTTATCCTAAATTTTTAAAAAAGTTTGGCACACCTAATACGAGTATTGCTAAAATAAATAAAAATTTAATCAATCAATAAAACACAATTGTTAAGTTAAATCAACATTCAATCATTATTTCTTGATTATTAAAACAGAATAATAAGATCAAAATGCCATTAAATTAATAAATAAGTAAATAATAGTATTTAAAAATATAAAATCAATGTATATTTATTTCTCTATTAACTTGGTAGATATAACAATGTACGTATTTTATAATTTGTTAAAATTAATATGCTTCATTTGTTATTTATTTAAAAAATTTATAAAAATAACTAGAAAAAAAGAACATGACATGTTAAAATATGTAAGAAGTAATAAATAAACATATAACTAAAAATTAAAGAAAATAAGAAAACGAATTAATATCTTTAAATAAAAAAAATCCTATAACTAAAACAACTTTTATATAATATACTTACCTTCCCTTGTCAATTGAGCCCAAGATCAAGGCAAGACTTATACTTGTTGATTGATAATATATAGAATTGGGAGATCACATGAAATGATTCTTATAATATCACTAGAAATGCTAATACTTTCTTTCTACACACTCCTTTGAAGTTTGAACACATTTTGTTATTGAATAAAATTTATTGAGACTCACAAAATAATGTGAACCCCATTCTCTATTTAATGAGTCTCACGTATTATTTCAGTGTCTCAACAAATTTTAACAAATACTAAAGAACGTATTAGAAAAAGGTGTTACAGTTTGTTGGTAGCATTTCTCATAAGGCTACAATTTACAATCATGATGTTGAAAGCCAAATTACTAGTGGCAGCTGAGTGGCTCCAATGGACTGATGAGACATCAATTCAATGCATCATATCATTTTCATCTAACCAAAATTTAGTATATCAAACTCGGATTCGTTTGACATCAGTTTCTGGGACACTAAGATCAAGCCTATCTCCACCGCCTGAATTAGCAGTTTGTCCTGAGACCTGCCAAATCATACATTTCAATGACAAAATCAGTTTTTCTAATCTTCACATGAAATGCATAACTCACGTACCAAAGCAATTCCCGTGTAAACACAATGCCTATAGGCACAATCAATAAAAAAAATTAAAGATTATATTAAAATAAATTTTAACAAATATTTCAACGCAGACATTTTATTTTAATGCAACTTGAGCTTTTAATTAGTTGTACCTATAGACACTATGCTCACGCAAAAATTGCTCTTTATACCAAGTCAAAGGGCCATGTCAGCGCCTAAACTTCTTACAGTCCTCACAGGCTGAAATTGCCATTTTCTTTCTAAGTTTCCTAAACTATGAGCAAAGATCCATGTTATTCGTAACATAAAAGTCGGCCTTTACTTCAGACACACTTACAGTTTCATCAGGAACAACTGCATATCTCTCGGATAAGGATGAGCAGGCTTTCCCTGTTTAAGGGAAAAACAAATAAGCCAGGATGATAAGAAATTGTATAAACATAAAACAAAAGATATAAATCTAAATTACACTACCAAATGGTATTAATATCAATAAAGGAACAAAATTACTGATGAGCATAACAAAGCACCTGATAATACATCGGAGTTTGAGGATTCTATTTGCTGCCCAGAAGATCCATCAACACTCAATGCCTCAATAATTTTCGGAGAATTTCTACAAATCCCAAAATCACACTATGAACTAAAGACTTAAATGAACAAGGTAATAACTGGAAATCAACCTTTTTTTTAATATTATTTTCAAGGGTGAACAAAAAGCATTCAAAGCGTATTCAAATATCCATGATTTAAAATAAATAAATAAAAAATTGATAAAAGAGAAGGGTACCAATATGGTGCAACGAATGTAGCAATTAGTTAACAAAGCTCTATTCTAATGGTTAACAAAGTTTGATATAATTTATTTACATGCTACATTGAACAAGCTAGTTTTTAGTTTCCGAAACTTGGTCAAAGCAGCACCAATACCTCAAGCATAAGAACTTCATGATTAAGATCGTTGATCCAAATTCTAACATTAATAACAGCAGCGATTACCAAAATGATGGTATTAGATTCTATTTCCAATATAGAGTTTACGAAGTTCAATAAAACAATTTAGTTAGGACAATTAACAAGCCACTAGGAATGGGCTAGTAATGAGATTGGATAGTTCGCAGGTTATAGGCTCATACCCCCGTGTTGTCATAACCAAAGAAAAAAGGTTAAAGATAGTAACTAATTAATTGTTTCAAACATAACTTTTATGAACAAAATAAAAGAATATCGCTTAAGTGCCTTCAGCATGCATTTGAAAGACAGAAAAGCATTGAAATGAAAGACGAAGGCCTGTCAAAAAGTCCAAACAAATTTTATTCAGGTTGTACATGCAATTACCGGTCAATGGTATCCCCATGCCCCAGTTGCCCATTTGTGCCTCTTCCCCAAGAATATACGTTTTCTTTTTCTGTAACAGCAATAGTGTGTCTCCACCCACATGTGATCTGAACTACTTTCTGCCAAGCCAAACAAAAGCAAGTAAAAATAAAATAAGATAGTGATTGCTTGAAGATAGACACTGACTTCTTAAGATACAAAGTTTGAAAATTTCCAAAAGAATGGGAAGAACAGTCGTGCAGTTTCAATCAAGTACCTGATCATGTGGAAACTTCACTTCCACAGGAGAGGAGTGGTCAACATTATCACCAACTCCAACCTGTCCAAACTGCAATAAAAGAAAAAATAGTTCACAAATTTCCAAACACATGTTAATAATACAAGACTTGTGATTGTCTGATAAAGAATCAAGTCTGAAGCCAATTTTTTAAAATAAAAAAAAATAGAATATATTCATTTCTCTGCATACATGAATAAGCATTTTTTTTACCAGTCATCAAATGTTATCCTCTGTTCTGTTCATAAATCAACAAGTATTTCTTGTTAAAATGCAAATATCACATGAACATAGGGAGAATAAAAAAATTACAGCCAACCTTATTCCAACCCCATCCATAGAGTTCTCCACTAGATGTGAGTGCCATACTATGTCTCCAACCACCTGATACCTGAAAGAAGTCCAAGCAAAGTTCAGGGCAAAACCAAACAACTATAATCACTATATCTAAAAACAAATATATTGCACCCAGGGCAGGTTTAAGCATAGGACAAGATTTGGTGGGACCAATTTTTCACTTGTCTTTAACACATTATAAATATGACGGAACCCTTATATTAGAAGTATTTCCAGTCCATTCCCCACTAGAAAAAATCCCAGCATTTAAAAACGGGACTGGAGCAAGATACAACCTACTAACCAATGCATCCAAATAATATAAGAACCTGCCACCTAGACACCAACTTGACATAAAATTGAAGGAGAACCTGATAAATTGACTTATCACTCAAGGCTTGAAGCTTGTGAGGAACAAGATAATCCTCAAAATCTCCATGTCCGAGCTGGCCATATTTGCTCCATCCGTATGTGTATAAGCCACCAGAAGATGAAACAGAAATTGTATGCCGCCAACCACAAGCAACCATGACCATATTGTCACACTGCAACTTTCAACAAGCAAGATTTAGGCAAGGGAGGGAAGGGGAAGCAGAACAGAAGTTTTCCATCCATTAGTATGCATTTACACTGATTAGGTGATTTCTCATGATTCATGAATCTTAACAATATTTTCTAGACCTATTGATAGTTATCACAAAAGTTAATACCTGGAAATGCTGCCTCTTCTATTAAACTAAGCAGCAAGTCAAACTTTTTCAGAAATCAAACAATATATAAAATCACATATATTCCAAATTATAATTGATATAATCAAAGGCTAATAGGGAAAGGTAAGATAACACCAATTTGAGGACATACATCAACAGAAGAAACTTTCTCAGGAATCCAACGATCATTTCTATCTCCCAACCCCAAGTTTCCGTATCGGCCCCAACCCCATCCATACAGTTCTCCACTTTCAGTAATGGCCACACTGTGTTCTGCACCTGCAGCAACCATTTTGATAGGTACTCCCTATAACAATAGAAAATTTAAAATGTGTTCAATTTCAATAGTTAATGAAATAACTCTTTGATGCATTATATTTTTCAATGTTTAAGACATTAACAATATAATGTGACTATTAATTTCATAACAAAACTACAATTGCTGCTGTTCTTTGTTTTTTCGGTCCTTAGCTGCTTATCTCTTTCAATTGTTTGAAGTGGGGGATACTTGTGAAATGCAAAATGTTACTGATCAGAAGTGGGGGATACTCCTGAAGATCAAAAGATTGATTGATCAAAATTCCCTACTATTCAGTTCCAAGCTTCATATCCAAAAGAAAAAGAACCAACAAAAGGGCCAGGGAAGTGGGAAGTGTGAGCATAAAAAATGCTCCAATTCACCTTATGATGTTGTATATTGTTTTGCTAGTAATTTCTTTGAGGGATCTAGCACATGTAGAAAGAATTAGTAGACCCAGACAGTCAGGAAGGCAGTAAAGATAAGCAACTCAAGCAAAATAGGGTGGGATGTAATGGAGGCTATGTACTGAGCAGGCCTCATGAAAGAGCACCCAGCATAAATATGAGAGTTCTTAAACTTTGGCAAAAAAAGGGCAAGAATGATGAATAACAAATGAGTGTCAGGAATCTTGTGCGAAATATTAACTTTGCTACTATGTTTTGTAATGAGTGTGAAATCATTAAAGAGTGGAAGAAGGGGGAATTTATAGAGGCTAAAAGTAGATCTTCAGGGCATTCAAGGAATAAGAACATAAGTAAAAGTTATTGGAATGTACAGAGTTATAAGGTGCAAATATGTTCGTGTATGGAAGGAAATTGTATGAGAGAAAAAAGAAAATAGATGAGTCTGGAACAAGCAAAGGTGGGGGGCACAAAGGCAATAACGAAACAGCTGGAAATCTGGTTACTGAAGAGAATGGGGGTCATAACAGAAAGGACAGGTGGCAAATGATGAAGGGAGGGTATGATTCTGGCATGATTGAGGGAGAGTGGGGAAACGTTACACAAAGGGTGTCAAGCAGAGAAGGGTAGGGAAGATTTGGGAGGAAGGGTTTGGATGGCCGAAGGCCTGGACTGGATTGATATCTACGTTTAGCAGTACCCGAGTGGTTTGAGTTGTAATTCCAGGAGAGTCTTCCCCTGTTGGAGGACTGGAATCCGTCGTTTGATATGCAGTTTCTTCCAAGGTTTTCTCTCTTCAATAAACAGTTTCCTTTTACTGCTGAGTTACTGCTCAGTTTCCAAAACCTAACAATTCTTACTCCCCTCTCTTCTTCTCTTTCCCCTATTTAAGCTATGCCCCTGCTTCTATCTATTTCAACTGTTTAACCACCAAACAGTTTTAGTTGTCTAATTCTATCTAATTGCTTTGTCTTGCTTCTGTTGGCTTTCCTTTATTCATCTGTCGGGAGTCCCATCACAGACAGAGAGACATATATCCCTTTTCAAATTGTTTCAAAAAAGGGATGAATGAGAAGCAATTAAATATATGGTAAAGGTAACTTATCATTGTGTATTGATTATCAATAACGGGTTCACAGTTTTATTTATCACATATAACCTTGACAAAATGCCTCAAAAAAGTGTACCTGAAATGTTTGAATCTTTTGTGGCACAAGAGAGTCCTCTGTGGTGCCAAGTCCAAGTTGACCATTTTGATTCCGCCCCCAACTTCAATGTGTATAGGGAAAGAGGGAAAAAAAAATACAAAGGTCAGAGAACAAGAGAATTAAACAACCGATTCAGGGTTCATGTTTGCAAATTACACACTGAGTATCAATCGGAACACATACATTCAATGAACCAAAAAACCCTAAAAATTGGCAAAGAAATACAAACCTCTGGACCTCGCCTTCCATGGTAACTGCCAAACAGTGGCTATCCCCACAGGCAATTTGCTTTATCCTTAGACCCTGCAATGCTCTAATAGGCTGAGGAATGAACAAGTCACTGGAATTACCATGACCCAACCTTCCGAAATCACCCCTACAAAAACAAAAACAATTCAGGATCAAATACAGTCACACTAACCAAGCTTGGATTCATTGTTTACATGGAAAATTACAAGAGCAAAGAGTGCATTTCTGAGCACAGTGATTAAAAGAAACAAGTTGAAAGGAAAGATTGCATACCATCCCCAACTATATACTTGAACGCGTGACTCAGAATAAGCAAGGGTATGATCAGCTCCACAAGCCAGAGAATCTACTTGTTGAGCATCTAATGCACTGAGTCGCGTAGGTAAGAGTCTATCATCGGTGTCACCATGCCCTAATTGACCATCCTCTCCTCGACCCCACGAGCACACCACGTCGCCCGCTGCAGAGGATCAAAACCAATAAAGAACCGAAGCGAAAGAGGGATTCCATTCAATTTCTAGAAACGAGACGGAAAGAGCTTACAGAGAAGAGCAACGGAGTGGCTTGCACCGGCTGAGATGAGAAGAACGCGACGAGGTGGAGGAGCATCGGTGAGTTCCATTAGTGAAATAAAATTGGGTAATACTAATAATAAGATATTAGAATTAGAACATTGGTTTTGAAATTGATAATTTGATTTAAAGGGAGTAATGAAATTGAACTACAGAACTAGAGTAGAGTCGAGCATAGCATGAATATTGAAACACTGTGAGTGTGGCATGGGGCAATGCAGAAACAACGGCATTCAATGTGAGGTGGGACCCATAGAGTAAGTGTGGCAGCACCTCCAACCATTTTTTCTCACTTCCTCCATCTCCTCTAACACTCTTCTCTTCTCATTGGTCACCCACCCCAACCCATCCCCTTCCCTATTCTTACAGTTCTATTTCTCAATCATTTCATTCTAATAAGACATTTTTAGCCTTATATATATATATATATATATGATATAAAATTTGACATGTAACAATATTTATGTCATTAATCATTTAAAAAATTGTAGAAGATAGAAAAATAATTTTATAAAGATTAAAATTTAGTATATTCTAAAAGAAAAACATTTTTTACCCATATTTTGTCTTTAAATTTTTTATAAGAAATATTTTTTATTATTTATATTTAAAAAGTAAATTGAAACTTATTTTATCAAATCATAAATTAATAAAATATTTTTATAATATAAGAATAAGAATTTGAAGAGTTTAAATACGATTAAGTGTTGATGATATACTCTACAATAAATCAATAATTAAGAAAAAATAATAACATAAGATCAAAGGTTAATAATAGTTACATTAATTTTAACAATATTTAATTAAATTTTTTATATTATTAATTTTCTATGACCAGTTACTCTCTATCTGACTGTCGATTCATTACGCCTTGTTCTATTATTTAAATTCAATTTGAAAATATCTAACAATTACAATTGAAAACATTACTTGATCAAATAAACAATATTTTTACTATCAACAATATTCTATTATATTATATGCGACTAAATTAAAGAGATAAGTCTTTTAAGATTGAAAAATAAATTTAAAATTTCAAAATTGAAGTTAAATTAAATTTTAAAATTATATTTAATGCTAAATATCAAAATAATTTACGAAAAGGATACTTAAGAGATTGCTTCATCTCTCTTAAATCATTATATTACTTTTAAAACATGTATTTTTCCTTATGATAACGAGTCTTTTGTCGTCAACCTATATTTAAATTTTTAAAATTTAATCCACGTAAACAGAATTTGAAGAAAAATATAGTTTTAAAAGGTCTAAAGTTGCTGTTTTAATCTAAACTTTCTCCTTTCATTTTCATTTTTAGGAAATTTAAGTAATTTATCTAATATAATTATAGTAATTAAATAGATCACTTCAACTTTATCATATTTTAATCATTTATACAACCTTCTTTGATTTTTTAGTTTTTAAAATAAAAATATTATTACTTATTTGAGAATGAATTATCCAAATAAATTTATATTTTTAGTTTTTACACTTATTCTTTGTATTTATTTTTAGCTCTTTCTTTGTTTATTATATTATTCATCAAATGCATTGTTTTTTCTTATTGTCTTCTTTCACTCGTGCATTACAATGCCATTGTGTGAAAGACATTTTATTTTACAGCTGGAATTTGTTGGTTGTGTAGACTTTTGGGGCCTTCCTTCAAAATGTTGAAATACCCTATCAAGAGGGTGATGAAATTTGATTTAAATATGTATAATTTTTTTAAAATGTCACTAATATCTGCAATATATAATTTTTATTATTGTCAATTTAAACACGTAAGCTTCATATTATTATTTTTTCGTAATATTAAATAAAAACTCCACTTATTTACCAAAAATTTATATTCATTCCACATTCAACAAACTCGTGTCAAATCTTATATGTTGTATGTATTTTTATATTAAATGATATTAAAATTTATTACTCTAATTTTTTGCACAACAAAATACCATCAACTTCTAAAATTTAAAATAAGGTTACATAATATTATTTTAAAAACACTTAGATTTTAATTCATTAATTTTGTAAAATTAATCTTTGAAATTATTATATATTTTAAACGGTTAAAAACAAGCAGTGAATGAAATACATTTAATATAAAATATGAAATATAAGTGTATATATTTAGTTTTCAATATTACATGCATCTAAATTCATTGATATTTAAAAGTTGATGGAATTTTTGTTTTGAAAAAATGTGGAAATAACATTGAAAAAAAGTCATTTTCCGAGGTATCCAGACAACAAAAATAAATGTTTGATCATGTGTGACTTTGGGATATGATAATGGAGATATTGATAATCTTGACCAAGTCAAACTATTGTTTCATGTTGATTGCGAATTTCCCGGATTCACAAGGAATCAAAGGCCAGCAAGGATGACATGAAAGTATGAAAGTGATATAGTTGGCCTAATATTTTTACAATATCTCTTTGTAAAAAATAAAAATTGAGACAAACAACATTTTAAGAAATTTATTAAAAATAACTTCTTTTCATGAAATATTTAAAAAACTAGAGTTTAGCTATTTCACTTTAACTTTTTTTCCCTTTTATATTTAAAACTTCAAAATTTAACAATATTCAACAAATTTTAAAACTTAAAAATAATATTATTACTAAAGAGTTTTACCTTAAAATTTCAAGATTTAATTTTTAACTTTGATACCAAAAATTCCCCCCCCCCCCCCAATGAAATGGGAGAGAAGGAGCTGTATTTTTTATTTTTTTTGTCTTTTAAGTATTAAAAAACTAAATCAATATTTTATAATATAGAATTAAATAATTTGTTAATAGTAAAAATTAATTTTTATTAACCTAGACTCAATTTAGACATACTTTTTATAGGAATAAAAAATTAAGTATTAAAAACAACAAAATTTTTTAAGTTAAAATTAACTTATATACCTTTATTTTTTAGAAATTCTTTTATTAAATTTTTGTAAAACTTGAAAATTATAAGTTACTTTTAAATAATAAAAAATTACTTTTTGATATTAATTTTTCTATAAAAATTTATTCAAATTCAAATTTAATTAAAAAAACTACTAATTGAGAGAAAGGATAACAAAAGAATTGTTAAATATTGTAAGATATTAGTGTTCACTACATATATATAGGGTTGATATTCTTTTTATTTTTAAATAACTATTTTTAAAATTAAATTATATATTTTTTATGATATTTATAATTTTTTAATTTCATCAATTTTCTGTACGCTTTACTCTAAACATTTAATTTTAGTATTTATAAAATTAGGTTTCTTTTAACATATAAGTGTTAAAATATCTAACTTTTAAAAAATAATTTAGTCCAATATTTAGTTCCCTTTCTAAATTAGAATAATTTTTTATTTTATAAAATTTTAAAATAACAAATAATTAGTAATGAAAAATAAAAATAAACACATTAGGAAATTTTTTTAAAATTGTTAATTGCTCAAATAAATTTATTTATTAAAAATATTATATATATATATATATGCATTATCTATAATATTAAAAATGGTTAAATTAATTATTAATAAGTTAAATTTTTTCACATCAATAAAGATATTTATTTCTGCATTCTTTTACCTGCATGTTATTCTCTTAACTAGACAAAAAAAAAAAGAAGTAGAAGCAGTATTAGATGCATGAGTAACATGGGTAACAAATTTAGTAAGTAATGTTTATTAAATTAATCTCATTCTGACATAATTAATAAACAATAAAGTAAAATTTAATATATTATAAGCTTAATTATTTTATATCTTTAAAAACTTACAATTTTATATTTGATCTTGTATTTTTTTAATTATAAAATATATTTTTTTTTGTTAAAAAGTGGTTTATTTTAATTTTCTTTTTAGTCCCTCTGAGAATTATAAATTTTCTATTTAGTACATTTAGTTAGTTTTGTTCATAAGAAGCAAATAAAAAAAATGACCAAATAAAAGTTTTTAGAGGAATTAAGTAAAAAATAAAAATATAAAAAGATCAGTAAAAAAATATTATGGAAAGCTTAAAGTTAAAATATTATAGAATTTTAAAAAGCTTATATAAAATAAAATTTTTACATGCAAATGTTATGTCCTGCGTTACAATTTTATCATTTGTTCTTTTTTAAAAAAATAAATAAAGCTCGGCCAATGATCTAGAACATTCGAAGTCACAATATGTAATAAATTTTTTTATTTTATTATTTGCTCTCATGTCCATATTATTTAAATTGATTTTATCATATTTGTAATAGGGTTATTTCAATATTGTGTATATTATAATTTTTTATTTTATTTTGTCATTTTTGGAAAGGACAACCATTCGTACAACAGTATAAAAAAATTATTTAAATTTGATAAAACTTTATGATCAAATGATCAATCAATTGAACAAAATAAAAGATCAAATTTCCTTCAATTTAATTAATGTAATAGCGATCATAGTTGTTTTTAATTCAATAAATGTTAAAAATATCAGCCAACGAAATCAAAAGAAACTACTCTCAGTATAATTAAATAAATCAATCAATGGGCTGGGCAGCAAACTGAATACCGTCGGAACCCGAACCCGAACCCGACGTATCCCAAGGCCAAAAATATGTTTCAGACTTGGCCAATTCGGGGTGATGATTTATATCAAAGGTTAATTTAATGTAATATACTTTTTAATATAATTTTAAATAATTTCTATAATTTTTAATTCTATTTCATTTTTAAATTAATATTTTTATTTCATATTTTTATATTTTTTAATAAATTTTAATTAATAATATATTTAAAAAAGTACTAAAAATTATGTTGCTAACATTTTCCTTACAGATAATCTTGAGCTCTTTATTTTGTAATAAAAAGACCTAAAATTGTTAATTTTTTAAAAAAAAGTTTTTAAAAATAAAATTTTAAACTTTTAGAAATAAGATTTTATAATTTTTACACTCCCCAAAATCAATATCTGAAACTGTCACTAAATTTTAAATTTTTTTTAGGCAAAATAACATGTTTTGCTGAGGGTTTAGGGTTGTCACAAATATATTTTCTAGCGTTTAGAAGAAGCACTAATTATAAATTGTTTTCACCATATTATGTTTAATCGTTGAATTAAAGTTTTTAAAGAGACGAGAAGAAGAGTACTGTGTTAACCATCTATTTTTTTCTATATGTTATATTTTATAAGTAACCAAATGATGCACTGTTCCTGAAAAATAAGAACGACCATGTATGAAATCAGATTTGATTTTAACTATCCATGCATGTTTTCTCCCAAGTCTCCATCTATTAGTTCAAAAACTTTTGACTTAGTGATATGTCTGCCAACATGTTCTATCATTTACCTTTTAAACTTGCATGTTACGTGTGAGTCTCCTCCATTTTCAAACTTTTTCGAATGCAGTACTTGTGCATTTTCGTCGGCAATCATATTACCAAATATTTTATTCCAAATGTCAATTGCTTATTTGTTTTATATTATATATATTCGTTGTGATAGAAAATAATAATAATAATATCTCAGTTAAAAAGATTGATTTGATTAAATTAAATTATTTAATTTAATTATCAAATAATAAAATTTGTATTTAGAAAAAATTTGCATACTCGTTTAAGTGTGACTTTGTAAGTTCAAAACTAATCTCATAAAAAAGTTAATTAAAGTTGACGTCTAACAGTAATTTTTTTTTAATGGCAGAATAGTATAAAGTAACTCTTTTCTATTAAATCTTAATTATTTAGCATATGAATGATTTAAGAAACTTATTTATTTATTCATTTAGTTGGTCAGATCAAGGTCTTTAAGTTGATACATAGCTCAAAATTATCGTTAAAAGTTATAGATCCTTTATTGATTAATTATTAATTCTATAAGTATTTAATTATTATGATAATCTTATATATAAGGAAACTATAATATTTTTTTGTGAGAAATTTCTATTGATAATAAAATGAACTATTAGGAATTCTCCCTTAAGTCAGTTTTACAGTCATATCCTTGTATGCATCATTTATATGTGTGATTTAATAAATAAGTTCTGTAACACCCCGAACTTTATAATATTAATTATTTATAATTATATAAATCTAAATGTATATTCATGTGTGTATTTTTAGATATATGTTGTAAATATCACTACGCCAAAAATGAGCTCTTGCAGCGCAATCCTAGATAGCGGTTAGTGAAAACCGCTTTGTATCAGAAATAAAGAGAGCGGTTAACGCTCAACCGCTCTGCAATTTAACCCTTTCAGAGCGGTTGCATATAAACTGCCCTCTAATGCACAATTTAGAGAGCAGTTGTAAAGGAACCGCTCTCTAAAATCACTTATCAGAGCGGTTGAGATTAAACCGCTCTCTTAAACTAGCTTGGAGAGCGGTTATTTGGTAACCGCTCTCATAAGTTCCACTTTTCAGATAGCGGTTAACACGTGGAACCGCTCTCATAAAGATTACAAAGCAGTTCTTTGGTTCAACCGCTTTTAAAAGATTATATTAGAGAGCGGTTAACGACTTAACTGCTCTCTAAAGTGTAATTTCAAAATAAACCCTAACCCCTAAATCTGGCCATCACTGTCCTTGTGCCTACTCTGTATTTGCTGAGGATTTTGCTTTGGAAAACACCATCGTTGACTGCGCATTGCCACTGAGAAGGTATTTTCTTCATCGTTTCTGTTTTTATTGCTTTTCTTTAGCATTTTGGTCCTCTGTGTTGACTGGACGCCATTTTATTTTTAGGTTAATAGTTACATAAACGTCCTCTCTGCCATTTTTGGTTCTCTGCAACATAACTGCGACCCAACGTTATTTCAAGGTTAGTCGATTGTTAATTTTTTTTTGTTAATTTTTAGGTAATTTGTTAATTTTCGTTCTCTGTAATTTTTAGTTAGTAAAATTTGTGTTTTAGTTAGGACGAGAACTGGCCCAAAATATAATAAATTAATAAAGAGTACAGGAGAAGACAATGACATAGAAAATTAATATTTACAATTAAATCAATGTCAACAAAATGAGATCATTTGATTTTGGAATAGGAGTAGAAGTGGTCTACTGAATAAATTAACCTGGACTTACATAATTTTATAATGCAGTTTAGTGGTCTTACATAATTTTAGTGGGGTAGTGAAAAAACATTATCATATTTAGTGGTCTTACATAATTTTATAATGCAGTTTTAGACCTCGAATAAGTTCATCAAACCTGGCCTCAAATTGCATACTAGACTTGGAATATAGGAAGTGAAATCCCATGCTTAGTTTGACTAGTGAAATAAGATTGTTCCTTTTTTTAATGTTATGCCTTATGAAATGTTCTGAATGCATGATTATTGTTGATATTATATTGTTAGAAATTATGTAATGTTGTGAATGCATGATTATTGTTGAAGTTATGTTGTTAGAAATTATGGTTTGAAATCTGAAATTGAGTGAAACTTTAGTTTCCCGTTTGAGGTTCAAAATAATGATTGAATAAATCATCATTTTCAATCTTAAATTGTCCAAGTTGGACAGTTTGTCAACAAAGTTAGTCATTCAGTGGTTAGCAAATGTTGTTTTATAATGTTTTATTTAATTCTTAACAAAAGTTTGGTACAATGCATTTGTCATTGTCTCTTGGTGCGTGCTTGATTGGGGTAAATCATCTCATTTCAAATTGTGTACTAAGAGACTAATGCGAAATGCTGCCAAAATTTTGTCAAGTATAAAATAACACATTTATGCAGCAATTGTTAATTAAGGTATGAAAAACTTTGTTTTCAAATGGGATAGGGCCCTACCATATGAGACTTAATAAGACATTCACATTTGGTTTGTCATAACCGCAGTTAGAGCAAATATGAACCGAAGTTAGATGGTTACTGATCGTTTGAGTGAAGAATATGAAGATGGAGTGAAGGAGTTTATTAGATTTGCGATTAAGCATGCAACTGATCTGAACCTTATTCCATGCCCTTGTTGGTGTTATTTGAATATGATGCAAGTAAATGCGGAAGAATTGGAAGAACATCTAATGTGCAATGGGATCGATGAAAAATATACATGTTGGACAAAGTAAGGTGAGATACAAGGTCGAAGTACATCACATCACATGGGATCAAGTCTCTATTTCTCAGAGACATTAAAAACAGATGAGAGTGATAATGTTGAAGACATTCCAAATGTTGTTGAAGAAGATCTTAGAGATTGTCCAAAGATGTTTGAGAGGCTAAAAGATGATGCAGAAAAACCATTGTACAATGGATGCAGAAAGTTCACGAGATTAAGTTCTGTGTTAAAGCTTTATAACCTGAAAGCAATGAATGGATGGACTAATAAAAGCTTCACAAAGTTACTAACTTTATTAAATGAGATGCTACTAGAGGATAATGTGCTACCTACGAGAACATATGATGCTAAACAAGTACTTGCTTCCATTGGATTGACCCATGAGAAGATACATGCTTGTCCTAATGATTGCATTTTGTTTCGAAAAGAGTATGCATCACTAAGCCAATGTCCAAAGTGTAATGAGTCACGTTACATAAAGAACAAATCTACACCTGCAAAGGTCATGTGGTATTTTCCAGTAATTTTGAGATTAAGGCGCTTATTTCGCACTGCAGAAAATGCAAAGCACATGACTTGGCATGCTGAAGGCAGAATTAGAGATGGGAAGCTTAGGCATCCAGCAGATTCTCTTCAGTGGAAAAAGTTTGATGATGAATATGAAGACTTTGCAGCAGAAACAAGGAATATACGCTTTGCTTTGGCAATCGATGGAATGAACCTTCATGGCATGCAAAGTAGTACCCATAGTACCTGGCCTGTGATTTTATTAATATATAACTTGCCTCCATGGTATTGCATGAAGCAAAAATATATGATGCTTTCTTTGTTAATCTCTGGTCCCAAACAACCTAGAAATGACATTGATGTCTACTTGTCTCTTCTAATTGAAGATTTGAAGCGGTTGTGGGAAAACGACATTGAAGTATATGATGGGTTTAGAGATGAATGTTTCACACTTAAGGCAATGTTGTATGGTACAATTAATGATTTTCCTGCTTATGGAAATCTTTCTGGTTATAGCATAAAGGGTCAATGTGCATGTCCAATATGTTCCAAAAATACAGATTATATCAGACTTGAATACTGTCACAAGAATGTTTTCATGGGGCATCGTAGGTGGTTGCCACGAAATCATCCTTTTAGAAAAATGAAGAAAGCCTTTAATGGAAGTTGTGATGAACGACGATGTCCATATTCAAAAAGTGGAGAACAAATTTTTGAAGAGGTTAAAGATATCAAAACAACTTTTGGGAAACCATTTGCCAAAGACATTTCAAGTAGAGGTTGGAAGAAGATGTCAATTTTCTTTGAGTTACCCTATTGGAAATCGTTACACGTAAGACACTTTGTTGATGTTATGCATGTTGAGAAAAATGTATGTGGAAGTGTTGTCGGTACGTTATTGAACATTGAAGGGAAAAAAAGGATGGTATCAATGCAAGCTTGACTTAGTAAAGATGGGAATTAGATCTGATTTGGCACCAATGAAGAAGGGAAAACGCACATTTTTACCACCAACAACATGCACCCTTTCTAGACATGAGAAACGTGCATTTTGTGAGGCTCTTTATTCAGTTAAGGTTCTTGAGGGGTATTCATCTAACATCAAAAGTCTTGTTTCATTGAAGGACCTCAAGTTAGAAGGGTTGAAGTCTCATGATTGTCACATCTTAATGGAGAATTTGATTCCTTGCGTTATACGGTCTATTTTACCAAAAAAGGTCCGCGTTGCAATAACCAAGCTGTGTTTTTTCTTCAAGACAATATGTAGCAAAGTTATTGATCCTGCAAAATTACCAGCATTGCAAAACCACATATCTGAGACTTTATGTGAGCTTGAAATGTATTTTCTACCTTCGTTCTTTGATATCATGGTTCATTTGACCATTCACTTGGTTGAAGAGATAAAATTGTGTGGTCCCGCTTATATGCGATGGATGTATCCCGTTGAATGATATATGAAGATTTTAAAAGGGTATGTAAAGAATAGAAGCCGACCAGAGGGGTGCATTGCTGAGCGATATTTAGTTGAAGAAGCAGTTAAATTTTATAATGAGTACATGTCAAATGTAGAATCAATTGGTCTTCCAAAATAGCGTCACACAGGAAAGATGGATGAAAAAGGTAGCACTGGTTGTCAACAGAGAAGATTCGGTGGTTATCAAAAGGTCCTTGTGTTGATGCATTTTCATATACTTCTTACTTGGTGAACGAGTGTACCTTTTATACAAAAGAGCATGACGAACAGAGTACTATGCAAAATAGTGGAGTGACACTTGTTGCTGAATCGCTTCATATATCGACTGCAAAGGATAAAAACCCCATATATGCCAATATGTCATACTTTGGGGTAATTGAACACATATGGGAATTAGATTACACAAAGTTTCGAGTAGCAGTGTTTGGATGTAGGTGGATTAACAACAACAATGGGGTTCACATTGACAATTTAGGATTTATAAGAGTCAATTTTAAAAGGGTGGGATATCAAAATGACTCGTTTATCCTTGCAGCACAGGCAAAACAAGTATTCTATATCCCTGATTCTATTGACAAGTCATGGAGTATTGTGTTGTTGTCTAATAAGTTTAATTCTTTAACCGATGGTGAACTAATGGATGAAGAAATTAATGTGGAGGATGAACCTTTAAGAGGTGTACAACAAATGTCAATAAGGGATATAATAATAGATGATGGAGACCTTTATGCAAGACATGATCATGAAGAGGGTATTTGGTTAAATCCATCATTTCATTCCATTAAAGGGCATAGGAAACTTATTAAGCTCCCTAAGAAAAGAAAAAGATTAATACACTTTTCGATTTAAACATAAATATATGTGTCTTTATTATTTTACATGTTCACTTCCGCTCTCCAATTTATACTAACATAAATCTATTATGCAGAGATGACATCTTCTGATAACATTGAAGGAAGTTCTCCTTCTAAGACCCAACAATTGAAGAAGAAAAACACTCGAGGAATAACAAAATTGAAGACAATTAGCAAGGCAAGGAAGTTAGGACAAAAGTTACAGGTTGGATGGAATTGTAAAGGGCAACTGATTGACCCTAATAGATCTAAATTCTCCCATTTTATTGGATTTGTAACTAGAGTACAGTGTCAATTAGTATATGTGATTGGACAAATGTGCCTACTAATCTGAAGGACCATATCTGGGAGCAAGTAGAGGTAAACTACAATTCTTTTTCTAAGTGTAGTATTATTAATAAATCATGTTAGGCAAAGCTGATTTACTTATTTGGCTTTCATTGTAGGAAACCTTTGAAGTGCAAGAAACGCACAAAGTCTTTGTACTTGCATTAGCTGGACGAGATCTCTGTGCATTTCGTACACGGATGAGGAAGCATGTTTTTTATAAAGACGGTAATTGTCTCCCCCACCCTCCTAAGAAATATCAGAGATTCATTACTGTCACTGATCAATGGAACGAGTTTGTAAAACAAAGCTGCACAGAAGAGTTTAAGGTAATATAAATACACTTTTATTATATATTTCTATTATCTGTGTTCGACTTGGTAATCTCTGCTGATATGTTTTTGTTTTCATTTTGAAAAATAATATTTAGAAAGAAAGTGAGGCCAATGCTGCTAGGGCAAAAGGAATGTCGTATAAATATAGGCGGTCATCTAAGGGATATGCTCAGTTGGAGCAGGAATTGGTACTATCTGTACTATTTTGATATTTGCATTTATTAGGTTATAGTCTTATGTAATCAAATGTTGACGAGTTGTAATGAATTAATGTTCATTTTTTTGTAGATTGCTGCCTCTGGGTCTAATGTGACCTCTGTACCTCGACATGTCTTATGGAAGGCTGCTAGGGTTAATAAGCAAGGTAGTTTTGATGATGAAGGAGTTCAAAAAATGGTTGCTGAATTTGTAAGTATAAATAACATAGTTCATTTTAAACAGAACCTTTTATATACTAATCATAATTTTGTTTTGTTCATTATAGGAAACCCTTTCACAGGTGGGTATGGAGGCTGAGTCTGAATCAATGGCCAGAAATGACATATTGGGTAAAACTCTTAGTGTAAGAGAACATCCTGGTCGTGTAAGAGCTGCAGGTTTTGGAGTTACCCAAAAGGCTGCATTCGGCTCAATAGCTTCACATCCACACCCATCATCTACTGAGTGGCAGAACATGAAGCATTGGGTAGCGCATCTAACAAGTGTTGTGGCACAGTTGACTGGGGGTCAAGGACTGCCCCCTTTCATGTCTAGTCAAATGCCTTTCAACCCTACTGTCACTCCACCACCATTTATGCCTACTTCCATGCCACCATAAATGGGTATTCCCCCTCAAATGCAACAAGCGATGGAGGGAGGTCACCATTTGCAGCCAAAACTGCCATGTAACAGCCAAAGAGGCAGTTGCATATGTAGAAATTCCAGAGGTACAATTCAACAACAGAAATTTAGTTACTTTTAAATTTATTGTTAATGACGTACGATTAATTTGTTATTTCTAACCTTTAATAATGTATGTATTATAGGGTGATCACGACTGCATGCTGTATTTGAGCACCCCATATCACGTGGTTGCCAGAGGGAGAGTTTCGAGAACAGTGGTTGGGGACTCCTTACACAATACTGCTATTCCTCCTCACCATTGTAAGGTCTCAATAGAGATAGTGCAAAGACAGGAAGAAGACATTGCATTGCCTGTTCCTAATGAAGAAGCAAACCTCAATTGCCTGAGAGATGCAATTGGAACTTATGTTGTCTGGCCATTGTCCCTAATCACTTTACGACCCAAGGTACGTAATCATAATTTTTTTTATAGCATTCCGATGTATGCATTTAATTTTTCATTTCATTAGACAAACTCTTTGATGTTATTTCAGGTTGCCCCATCATCTAGTAGAGGGTTAGGGAAAGGGACAGGTCACACAAAGGAATCCATTGCTGGTCCAAGCAATAAAGGTGTTGTTTCTAATTCGTCTGACCTTCTTGAGTTGGCACAGGCTCAAGGTGCTGCGTGCTTCGATATGATGAAGCTCTATATAAGAAGTGATCAAGCCATTGACAATGTAAGTATTCATATGACAAGTCAGCATTGGGGAAAAGAATTTACTGACATTGTGATAAAAGAAAACATACAAGAGGTCATACGTCGCCATTGGTTGAGTGCCTCCAGCATCAACCTTTACATTAGGTAATTCTTTAATTTATACCAATTGTATAAATATCTTTCTCCCATACGAAACTTGATGTTAACTACCTTATTTAATCTCATTTCATTCATCTTTTCAACTACAAGATATTTGTGTGAAGCTTACTTAGAAGGGACCAATATGGCAAGTAAGTTTTCATTTATATCTCCCTATGAAATGGATGCGAACCTCAATCAGACCCCACATCAATATATAGCTAACATGTTAAAACGTCATATGGGTGAAGATCAATTGATATTCGCACCTTACAACGTTGGGTAAGTTAATCTTATGACCATGCATATAAATTTTCCTCCATTTCATTATCATATTTAATTATTGTAATCTTAAACATTTGGTAGGCAACATTGGATCCTAGTTGCTATCAACACCTCTGATGAGACAATGTATTATATGGATCCCCTCCGCAAACAGTTAAAGACTAGACCATATATGCAAAACGTATTTAATAAATAAGTATACATGATTTTACCTATTAGCTGGTCTATCATATATGAATGTGCTTTCGTTTAATTGTAAATTTGTTCTTTCATTTTATTGTTAGTGCTCTTGTCACATATCGAGTTGAGAGAAAAGTGCAGCCCTCTAGGACAAAGATGCATCAAACAAATTGGGTCACTGTACAGGTCTCAATATCGTTTGACAAAAAACTCTTTTAACTTCTTTTATAACACTGCATAATTTACACTCAATATTGTCCATTTATTAATCATGCTTTTTATGTTTTTTCTCCTCCACGTACAGTGTCCTAAGCAATCAAATAATGATGACTGTAGATATTATGTGTGTCTCTTCATTAGAGATGCTTTAAACCATGGACAGACTACAATCTCATTTCATGTAAAAGGAGTGCATATCCAAAATTATTTTATATCACTAAGTGTTTATTAGGATAGTGTCTGCCCATTTGAATTATATCTAATATAACTAAGATTTGTATTTTGTTTTCTTTTCAGTATTTTCCAGAGTTCCAATTACCAACTTTTCCTGACAACACAATTCATCAAGTTCAAAGGGAGTGGTGTGCATATATGTACCATAGATATTTGAAGGACACATTAAGTACAATTGATTCTTAGTACTTTTTTTTTTTTTACAACACCTAGTCATAATTCTATCAAAAGTTAGGCAAAAGTGTATATACATTGCTGAGCTTTTTTAATTGTGAACGTTCTGTGTAATTGTATCTGTACAGATTCGTATGTTGCAAAATTTATTTGATTTCTGATTAATATATGTAAGTAATTGTATCTGTAATGTGGTTGGTTTATCTTTGTGGTTATCACAGGTTGTTGTAAACTATTTGCAATATTTTATGGTAATATGTATGCAAAAAATTGGGATAATGATATTCTGTAAAGGGCCCTGGCGAAATAATTTTAAATTTAAGAGAGCGGTTCAACAACAACCGCTCTCAAAATTACACTTTAGAAAGCGGTTAAAGAAAAACCACTAAAATAACCACACCTTAGAGAGCGGTTCACGAGACAACCGCTCTAACAGTTAGAAATTAGAAAGCGGTTCGTAAAAGACTGCTCTCAGATACTTACTTTGGAGTGCGGTTAGTTGGAACCGCTCTCAGAAAGCTTGACATTAGAGAGCGGTTGGTTGAGGAACCGCTCTCCAATCTCATAAACTCTTACAGCGGTTTGGCGCTAACCGCTCTCTAAAGTGCCATTTAGAAAGCGGTTGAGGGGGAACCGCTCTCCAAGGGTTAACATATGAGAGCAGTTATTTGAACCGCTCTCCAAGGGCTAACATTAAGAGCAGTTATTTAACCGCTCTAATAAATACAAGCATTGGATAACACAGGATTTTAGAGGACCAATAACCGCTCTCTTAATGCCGGCAGAACCGTTCTTAGATCTCATTTTTGGCGTAGTGTATGTATGTGTATATATATGTGTGTATGCATGACTGGTTGGGCTGAAATAGACTAAGTGCCTAAGTGCAAGGCGTGACACTGGGCTGTTCTCGCTGTAGCTAGAGGGCCCTAAGAGAAAAGACTGAAACTGTTACTTTCTCGCTGTAACAAGAGACGTATCGCTGTAACGAGAGACGTCTCGCTGTAGGGAGAGAGCGACAGTTTGAGGTGCATTTCTGGATGCAGTCTCGCTGTAGTGAGATTCTGCAGAAACCAGAGTGCAGTTTTCTCTGAGATTTTCGCTGCAGCGATAATATCTCGTTGTAGCGAGAGTGTCGCGACCAAAAAAGGATTTAAAGAGGGTTAGGGTTCGGGGAAAGTTATTTCTCCCTCTCCCTTCGATCCTCTCATTCCCCAAAGCTCTATTCCACCGATTAATTGTCTCCAAAGCCGTTCGGGAGCGAGATTGGAGCTCAGATTTGTGTGGGGAACGCTTGGAGGCCGAAAGTCGTGTGAGGAGCATTTCCGTAGTTGAGTTCGGATGTGGGTCTTCAATCCAAGGTAAGGGGGACTCTACCCTACTCCTTTATGTGTGATTTGCTGATATTTTGTGTGATATTGTGATGTGGCTGAGTAGAGGGTAGGAAATTGCTGAGATATATGATGTGGGCACTTGTACCGTTTATACATGTATGTATATTTGAATGAACATTGTGAAAATGTGGGCCCGAGGGCTGTGTAATATGACTGGAAATAGGTTAGGGGCCGTGTGGCATGAATGAATTGTGGGCTATGTGCTGTGTGTGCTGTGAAAATGAAATGTGGGCTATGTGCCGTATATTGAAATATGTGTAAATGGGCGTATTAGCGCCGTTGTAATGTGCTGTGAATGGTTCAGCGATACACTAGGGGTGTGAGAGATGAGGATGGTAGAAATACCTTGGGGAAGAGGGAGTGGTGGTGACACCGACTGCGGAATGGGTGCACCACGGGCCACACACTCTCTTCCTGACTAGCCCTCTGACCACTATCTTTGCTGAGCGACCCGTGACTGCCCACGTGATATCTGTGAGACGGGGGTAACCAGCGACCATTCATGGTGTAAATCTGTGATCACAGTATTATAGTAAGTGTGGCTAGTATGCGTATGCATAGATTTGTGTTTTGTACTTGTAAATGTGAAATGTTGCTTGTAATTGTGTTTGTTTAATGTATTGGAATGTTCTGGAGGTGAGACTCTACGTTTATTGTGTGTTTTGGGTAGTGTAGAATACTCATCCTTACATTCATTTTTCAGGTAACCAAGACAATCAGCACCGGACTCAGTGAAGGAACGAATGGACTGCTATAGGACTTAGAATTTATTTTGAAAACGTTGTAATTGTACTAGTCTTGTAGCAGTTATTTGATATTAAGTTGTAACCCTTCACTTATTTCGAAATCTTTTATAAAAATTTGGTTATTCGATTTGCAAAATCATTATTTAATTAAAATTAAATTTAAGGTGTTACAAGTTCTATTAATCTGTATCCAATAAAAGTTATTACATATATATTGGTCTATCCAAATTATTGATGTCACATTCAATATAGTTGTCAATATTCATCTTTAACACATAAAAAATTGATACATGAATATGAAATAGAGCAAAAGAATACAAACACCATTAACAATATAGTTTTAGAAAATGATAAACTCATCTCAACATACTTGGTCAACCTGCATGTGTTTTTAACTTAAATTTGCTCATCCTATTGAGTGATCAAATGAAAGTAACTTATAATTTCAATGAGGTCAGATTTATTTAAATTTAAGTTTTTTGACCTAAAAGCATCTAAATTCGACTAATGGATAGCTACAATAAGTCTAAAATGTTTTCTAAAAAAAATCAAAAGAGTCAAGTAAAAAAAGGAAAGAATAACTAGCAGGAGAGAGAGACTGAATTGATAAAAGGCTTATGCAATTTGAATTAAGTGATTTGAATTTAAGGTCCTTTAACATAGATATGATTTGGCATTTGAAAGGTAATAAGCATTGATTGAAAAGCTTGCACCCTTCTACAAATTTGGCAAAAAAGTGATTTTAACTTAAATAAAAAAAAGATTCACTTTAGTCAAAATTACAAAAAATTTCAAAACTTTATTTTCTTTCTCTATAAATTATAAAAAAATTTGAGAAACCTTTATGCAATATCATATGATCATACCACAAAAACTAAGGATTTTAGATCATGTAATATTGCAATTATTTATCAATTAATTTCTCAAAGTTATCATTATTTTCAACAATTTAACTTTATTTCAAATAGTTATACTTCACCGATGCTTAACATAAGTAGCACGATAATACATTTAGAATATTTGATAAGTTTATATATGCAAGGGTCTTTGAAATTAGGTAGTCATTAATAAGAAATAAAGGTTCTTTAAATTTTTTGTAGTTTAAAAAAGACAAAAATAAAGTTTTAAAATTTTTCATAATTTTAGTTTAAGTGAATTTTTTTTATTTAAGTGAAAATCATTTTTTTGTCAAATTTATTTAAGTAAATTTAAATTGCAGTTTCTACTAGAATTATAGAAAATCCAAATCCTTATTTCTCTTAGATAAATTGAAAAGTCGATGACTATTTTCACGTATTTTCAGTTTTCCTATTAATTTCCATCTCTTCACTTCACTTATTTGTAAGTTGTAAGATTCAATAATCAAACTATTAAGTCATATAGAAGCTTTTTTATAAGATATAATCACTTAAGAAAATGATAATTTGTATTAAACTGAGCTAATTACTTTAAATTTAAATATTAAACCTAAATTAACCTGTACTCGATCTAACCTACTTGATTAGCATTTTTAGGTCTTTAGTTTGTGCGGTTTCGGTCAGACCATCAATTCTTGCTCACTCCTAAGGGTAGTCTTTAAAATTATTTTCAAAAATATCTTCTTCTTTTTTTCAGTTTTAAAACCTAAAAACCCAAAATAAGTTATAGGCTTTTTTTAATTTTTTTTTATAGTTCATGTATTTTCGTTCGTTACTATTTTTATAACTTCTCTTCACTTATTTTAAAAATTAGTTTACAACAGAGTTTCTTAAAATTATGAGTACAATAAAACACTCCTTATGTTTTAATTTATTTGACATGTTTAATTTTTTAAAATAATGTTATTTGATAAATAAACTTATTCTATTTGTTTATAACATTTTTCAAAATCTTATTTCAATTAACATTTGAATTTACATTTTTTCCTTAAATATCTTATAATATAAATTATTTATGTTATTTATTTCGTTAAATACAAATATTTAAAAATAATTATTTATTTTTTTAAAGACGCGTCACAAACCAAAATTTAAGTTATAATAAAGCTATTGTATATAGTTTAATTTGGACAAGTTTATCCGTAAGTATTTTCTTCTTCTACAAATATTTATTTAGAACTTTATCTAAATTAGATCATAATATCTTTATCATGTTATTTTACACTTATTATTTAGTTTCATTAAATATTTTTAATATAACTAATGGATTTGTCATATAGTGTAAACATATTATTAAATTAAAATTAATAATTTTTAAATTTAAAAAATTTAAAAGTAAATGTTTTATTATATTAAATAAAACTAAACTAAAGTGATAGAAATTTTAAATTTTAAAATTAATTATAAAAAATTATTTGATTAAAAAGAATAAATGTTCAATGCACGACAAGTTACATGTATAGTTTGGATAAAATTATAGATAAGTACTTATAAGAGAATAAAACTAATATGAAAAATCAATAAAAAAAAATTATGTTAAAAAAATTATACTTCTCAAAATTTTAAAAAATAAATGAAAGAGTTTTTTTTTAAAAAAATATAGAAATATTGTAAGTTTATTTTAATTTATAAAAAGAATTTGATTCTTTTTACTATTTATGTTTAAATTTCTATAAAAATTTAATTAAGAATTTATATATTTCATAGTTAAAATGTGAAAAGCTTCAAACATTTTTTTTTTATATTTATCGTAAATGATGTTACATGACATTCATTATTTGACTTACACTTTTGTTTAATATAACTCAATAAAACACTTTCATGTAATAATTACGACCCACAATAGATTAATTAAAAAACATTTGAAAGAACTTTAACTTAATTTAATAACGTTACTAGTACAACTTATGAAAATACTTTTTAGTTTATTCGAGAAAGTTATATAATTAAATTTATTT